ACAAAACACAGATGAGAACGATGCAAACACATCTTCCACTTCGACAGTCATGCAACAGCTGCAGCCATAGGCTGCTTCACTTAAAAAAATAACAGGACAATTTTACATGTGAAATGACACTGCCAACCATGCTGACCTTGCACAAGGCTGAAGGCATGACGAAGTGCATGCAGTTATGGTTGAATGGGTAAAATGCAGGGAAGTGATAAAGCCTCCAATGCACACAAGGCTCATGATTAAAATGCTATTAAGTGCTATCCAAGACACCAACAGCAATACTTTTCCACCTTTCTCAGCACCCAGCATCTCGCGCAAGTTGCATTGACTACGACATTGATGACTCACGAGCAATGCTCGCCTGCCCTACAAAATTTGTTAAGACAGTACATTGTGCATCAGTAACAATACAGCTCCATATTTTCAGAGTTCTTTCAGGAAAAGACCATTTAGCAAAGCCATACAATATGTGCCCATACTGAGCATGTGCATTAATAAGCTGCACGCTCCAGTGTCTGCTGCCAAAATGAACTGCCGATATAATGACACGCAATGCATTAATTATATGCTGTAATATCTCAATTAGGTTTAAAATGTAAGCAAGGCCATAATGAAGTACCAGCTTACCTTCGTACACCCCTGCAACATAAGTGCTAGTGCTTCTCGTAGTTCTAGCGTTCCTTTGCGATGTTCAAACACAAACATAAAGGTTAGAGGCAGGTGTCATATATATCACACTTCATCGGGAGTCAGTAGACTTAAGAATACCAAAGCAATGCTCTTTCTCAGAAGTAAAAACCTCGCACGCACACTCCCTACCACATCAGGATCAATACAAGCCACTGGCATACACCACCAGTGATCACACACATTTCAAGCCCCCCCGATTCACACTCTTCTGTCAAATATGTGTGATTTCCACACTTGCACAGCTCGGGGAACTATCAAATTTCAGGTTTTCTCGCAATTTCTGCACAGATTTCAGCCATAACATTGCATTTCACGTAACCTCCCTTCAAAACGAAGTCCCAGTTGGGGTTCATGGTAATGCGGCTCAATAAGTTATACTCGCACGACACAATTTTTTGTTTAATATTTAAACTTGTGGTACAATATGTGTGAAATATTTAGTTAAATATATACCTAAGTTACTGTGATGTTTCCCTAGTTTCATAATGCCTGTTAAGCTCATAAACCCGTGCAAGGGTTTTGTGGCTCCTGTACACAAGGCGCCAACCGAGCTGTCTGGTAGAAGAAAAAAAACGCCAGCAGGAGAAAAAGACAGATTTGCCGTCCATTCTTCTATTTTTCTAACTTTCGGGAGAGCGCCCGTTTTTTGGGTGTCGTGCGTTGATTTGCAGACAGTGGCGTTTTTTTATAGCATTAACCTGCGGCCCTAGAAATCAGGAAAATTGCCCGTTCGCGACGAGTGCCGCACAACCCGAAAGCGCTCACGCTCACGTTCGCGACAAGCATTCAGCAGCGTAATCTTGCTAACAGCAATCATCTTCCGCGCATTAGTATCATACGTGCCACATCATCGCTTTTGCTAATTCTACCAGCGGCCATGCTGTTCTGCACCATAAGCAGAAAGCAACCTGTAGAATGACCGCAATCGCATGACGTTCCTATGACGTCATTAATGCCGAAGCAACATTGAAATAGGCTGCAAATAAACCTTTTCGCATTTTTGCGGGCGTGTAACTCAGGAACCAGATCGTTTTGGGTCTTAAAAGGAACATGACCGTGAACGCCACACAAATGTTCAAAACGCCATACGAATGTGGAACATCCCCTTTAACCTGTTCAGAGGACAACCACAAAGTTGTTAACAGTACGCCCAGTTTAATCTGAATTTTGAAAGCTATTCGTAACCATTATGTCACGACGGTCGTTTTCGCGCGCACGGCACCCGCCGCCTGTGGTCACTTGCAGTGGCTAACACAGAAGCCGAAACGCAGGCCATCGCTGTCCTTGCTGCCGTGATTGCGGGCGCGCGATCTCGATTTTTTTCTACATAAATTGTTTCACTATTCGATTTCGCAAAAGAACGAACGTTTTCACGCAAGCAATGGATGACCTTGTTCACCTCTTAACTCAATTTCGACCCACCCTGTTCAACACTGACGAGACCCCTATTTCCTTCCGGGCAAGGGGCCCGCTTGAGTAGAACACTAGGGGCGCATTATCGTTCCCGGCTAAGGGCTGAAGGGTGATTCCGTCCCACTGCGGGGTGTCTTCCGGCTGCCATTCTGGCGACACGGGGCGGGACTCCTGGTCGATTCGAGGGCCCTTTGAGGGACATATTATATCACATCGTCCCCCTCCTCGACGCAGAAGGCCTTCTGACCCGCGCAGTTGGCCTCGGGTTGGCGAAGGACCCTTATTGACGCAGCAATATCCCTGATCGCCGCGGGTGGTCAAATAATGGGCACATAGACTCCAGTGCTGGCATTGCGAATTACGAACAGGACCCACCGTTCCTTACTGGGGTCCCTGGCTAGCAAAGCAATATCCATGATCGCCGCGGGTGGTCAAATAATGGGCACACAGACTCCAGTGCTAGCATTGGAAATTACGGACAGGACCCATCGTTCGTTACTGGGGTCCCTGGCTAGCAAAGGACTTTTCTAATATCTCAGTGTGAGTATTCATTATAAGTTTTATGTTTCCTTTGATTGTCGGCGGTTAGTGTCCCTGTAGGCACTATGACGTTGCAAATCGCGGGCCCCGGCCTCGTTCCTGTTTGGGAAATTGGGTCCCAAGGGCTAGGACGGACAAGAAGTCCACTGTCTGGCTCCGTGTCCAGGCCCAATTATAATAGTGATAGAGAACTTTAATAAGAAGCCCCTTATAGAAGTCCTCTGACTGACATCTCAAGTCACGACACTACGCCTGGAGGGTCGGGACCAGGCCCAGTCGGTTCCTGGTCTTTGGTCCGTGCGGCCCATTCTGACATCCAAGGCCCCCATTCTGAGCGGCCCGACCGACACAGGGGCCCCACCACTGTTTCAGAGGACTTCGACCCGATGCAAATCATGGCCACCCGACCTTTCTTTTGCTTCGAAAATGTGTCTCCAGGGCCTTAGATTGGCAGGGTGCCAACTGGTCGGTGTTTCGTGGCGTTCTGGCCACCGAGACCCCCCCATTATTTCAGCGGGTTCTCAAACGGTCCAAGAGGACCTCTGACTAATGCGTCAGGTCATGTCCATGTTGGCTGCGATTCTTTATGTGACCTACAGCCAGTCCTCCGTGTCCTTATGCCCTCCAACCGGGTCTTTTAATCGTCGGTTCTGGTGGGCCACTCGAGCCCCTCTTCGGGCCTCATCGAATACTGCCCTTGGCCAGCTCGAGACCCTTTGCCAACACAAGACCCTCTGTTAGGCGCTGTGGGCCCCTGACAAGTGCAGGGGCCACGACCAGTGTAAATCGCTGACCCGCCTTTGTAGCTGGTTAGGAAGTGGGCCCTCAGGCACATACCGACACGGAGCCGACTGTGCGGAACTGATAGTTTCTGACCGACATATAGACTCAAGTTGACTCAGGGGTCCCCGATCGGCGCAAAGGGCACTCTGAGTGTCATTTGGGGGCCCGTACCCGCAGGCCGAACACCTGAATAAGACTCGGACCAGCCCTTCATGCCCTTACACCCTCCAATCTGGCTCTTGATCGTCGGACCCGGTCGTCCCTCTAGGCTAGTGTGGCTTTCTCGAGCATTACCTCTGGCCTGTTCTCATTGCCTCTGGCCGATTCAGGGCTCCTTGCGGACACGGGGTCCCGGTTAGGCGCTGTGGACAATGGTAGTCGCTGAGCCCCGACCAATGTATATTGCTGACTCCTGCGTTGCCCCTGCTTGGAAAATGGGCCCTGAGACCCACGCCGCCGCGGAAATGACTGTATATTACTGTGGTTTCTGACCGGCATATAGGCCGTTATCGTCTCAGGGGTCCTGATTAGTGCGCAGGGCCCTCTGGCTGGCATAAAAGTGCCGACCCTGTGGGCCGGGGCCCCTAGATACCACCTCCAGGCCGGCATTTCAGAACTTCCGAGGAGCCCGAAGGGTCCCTTGGAACCTAAGGGGCACGCGCCTCTGTGCCCCCTCCCCCTCTGCCTGCTTCGATGGGTGAGGTTACTTATCGGTTCGGAATGAAGAGGTCATCTCCCAGGTACAGCTTACAGTACAGTAGAGCTTACAGTACATTAGGTCAGTACATCCCCGAGATTTATGGGACAAAGATCGATACAGCATGTATGGACTTCTAACGGTTGAACGAATAAGCGGAGCTGGCTTTCTTTTCATCATTCGCGCGCAACCGGATTGAGTGGCACTGACAGAACCTCGCACCACAAAGGCTGTCACTGCGGGAATCCCGCACGTCCAAGAGATGGGACGCTCAGCCCCTTGTGGCCTGTTCCTAGTAATCTGCTGCGTTACTGGTGACTTGAATAGTACAGCAGGCATTTCGAAGAAAAGCCTTGCGGGCGTCTCCGCCCAGGTGCCAAGTTTGCACGATTTCGTTACCAGTGGATGACGCACCGACGCCAATACCCGTTCGGGGCGTTAATGCTTCCTCGGTAAGTGAGCCGATATGGACCGCGCACTGCGCGACAGCTAGCCACGTGTCGCTGTCCGCAGTTGCGTGTCGCTGTCCTGGTTATGAGTCGCGGGTGGAACCCGTCTTGTTCCACCACGGCGCGAGAAAGCATTGATCATGCAGCATTTCTCCTTCGTTTAGATGACCGCGAGCTGCAAGAAGCAATCACGTATGCTTAAAATCGAACACTAGTTCTGAGATCGAGATTCGCAGCGCTTTCCCTGCCGCGATCTTTCATAGTCGCGATCAGCGACAGCACATACTTTTTGAAATGTCAGGTGATCCACACACGACATCAACTTTCACGTGGTGATGGCGATGCAGAACGTCGTGTGCAAGATAAAAAAATGGCAAATACGTAAGAGCGGAACACGCCCTTCAACCTCGTTCCCCGCCGCTACCCGCAGGTGACTAGAGTCGAGCGCGCGCGGGCCCGCATGGAGTTCCACGTGGTCTACACGCCGGTGAACGGGGCGCTGACGGTGTGCCTGAACCGGCTGGTGAACCTGCCGCTCCGCTACCGCGGCCGCCCGTTCCTGGTGCGGCTGACGGCGCTGGGGCAGCAGGCTGAGTCGCGCCCCGTGCTGGACCAGGCGGCCGCCGCGCAGCCGCAGCTGCTCACCTTCCCGGGCGTGGCCCAGCAGTGGCTGGAGCAGGGCCAGCTCAGCTGCCACCTCTACGTCAAGCGGTACAGCAGCCTCACCGAGAAGCTGGTGGGCGAGGGCAGCGTGCGGCTGTGCGAGCTCAACCTGGCCTCGGGCACGCCGGCCGCCTGCAGCGTCGTCTTCGGCCGGCCCGGCCAGCGGCGCACGATACCGGTCAGCGACCCCCCCCCCCCCCTCCACCCGCCCCCACCCACATCGCCCCACACGGTGGGTCAGGGGCCCCGCGGAGGGCAGTGGGCATGTGGAGTGAAAAATAGCAGTTATGAGGGGCAAAATCAACTGCATTACGGGATCATGTCAAGCAATAGATGTTGTGTCAGGCAGAACGGGGGGGAAATTAGGGGAATTACATGCACGCAGGAATAACATTGAGCGCGGCACATCAGGACCAAAAGGCCGCTGAATTAAATGTAGAAACACAGCTATACGGATGCTACCTTTCGCACCTCTGTGCTTATTTTTATTCAATCATGGATCCTCTAGAAGCAGGATAGATGAGGTTTCACTGAGTAAACTGGTTTGTTATCAGTCTTTTTTACGACCGACATGTGGCGTGAGGTGTTTTAAAACGTTTCACATATTTCAACATTCTAAACTTAAATTTAGAGCTATTCCCCAACATGTTTCAAAACCTTAGTCCTGGCCAACGCTGTGCCCATTGCGACTTGTTTGGAACCAGGCACGTTAAAAAATATTTTCAATAAAGCAATAACGGGACGTAAATAAAAATGAACCTGAGCATGATTATGTAGCCACAGATTCCAAACCATTTTACGACGATTCAGATCCTTTTACGTGAACAAGCGTTCGTGAAAGACTGCTTTGAACCGTCGTTACGTTGCATGCGACGGATGCACGTCGGGAACACTGAAGATAAGAAGTGCACTATGTTTTGGGTGAAAGCCAATTGATGATTCTGTGTCAGCGGGCCGAGGGACCTGGGTGCCCTGAATACCACAGACCCACTAACACAGTTGCCTTTTTCTGCGTGACACGTTTCTCGGTACCAACCGATAGGCAATGTGTGCACTACAGCTGTTTGCGATGGATATCTGCGAGCGTGAGAAAGTCGTGTTTCATATGAGCAAGACAAAGGTTTTGGCGTTTGTAAGAGCTGTAGATTGTTCAGCTTCATTTTATTTAGCTGGCAGCTGCGTTCTGAATGTTATGTGAGTTAAACATTCAATAGACTGGCTATAGCTGATGAGGTGGGAAGTCTCGGGCCACTTGTGAATTTTCAAGTCTGAAGCTCGCCCGTAATATCGGAAGGGAACTACTTCTCCATAAATTGGTAGCTAATAACCTTCCAAAGTCACCGTTGTTGCATTTTCTTCATGCGCAGCCTACTCCTAAGACCAGTCAAAATATGGATTTTTTTAGTATGTGGTGGGTAGATACGTCACAAGTGCGTGGATCACTGTGGGGCAAGCGCTGTGAGTGAGAAATGGACTAGAGGAAATATATACTAGATAAGAACATAGGATTCCACTAGGTCAAAGTGAGCTGCAGGATTGAACTCGGGCAAAGTGCTACACTTTTTCACTAAGGCAAAGTCTGCTGTAAGTTTTCACAAGGGCAAAGTAAGCTGCTCAGCCGTAGTGCTCCCGGTGGTTTTAAGAAGCAGTTATGGCGCATCCCTAATGGTGATTATGTAGGTAAATGTGTGATATCACTGCATAGTGCTAAATATACGACGGGGCTGTAGAATCTGTGGAGAAGACATGCAGCCTCCAAACTAAGTCATATCACGGCATTTAAATGTTGAGCGAGAACAAAACCTTTATTGTAAATGTTACACACAACTCATTCGTGATCTCCAAGTATAGAACTGACTAAAAATACAACATATTCCGGTAATACTTTACTGCAACTAACGCCGAGGCCTTTAGGGTGGTGGGATGCGAATGACGTTGCAATAGCGTCATGTATACCTGAATGGTCCTGTAATAGTCTGCACAAGATGGACTGCACATTTTTGCGTACACTTAGCTCAGAAACTGGAGGGCTTTATTTAGGCTTTCAGAAGGGCAGTGCTGTGAACTGCATTGAATGATCATCAAAATGGCTTTATCAGTTCAAAACCCGAAACAAAATATGGAGCACTCCCTTTCAGCTTTAGACTGCTCTGATGTACACTGCAACGCATGCCGTTCATTTAGAGACGATGAGCAAAAATTGGGTCGTCGTTTGAAAAAATATAGCCACCATATTTGCACCATTCGGAATGTCATGACGTGGCCGCGTCTTTTTTACGGTAACGGCAACTTAGTAGGATTGGCACAAGCTATGGTCTTATGGCTCTGTAACCAGTGCTGCGACGAATCAGATGCGCTGTGCTAGATTGGTATCTGCAGACGTCTGCCATGTATAAAACCACGCTGCCACTGCGTTTCCGAACTACCCACGTCACTTGATACTGACTGATCTGCACACAGCTCAGCTGCTATCGCGCCCCCAGTTCATGCGAATTGACGTAACAGCTGGCTGGTAATCCTCCGTGAATTTTACAGCCTCTGTTCGTACTTGCTCAGCGTCATCTGTGGTTCAGGCACTACAACTGTCCCTCTTTTTATTTGGTGCTGATAACGCCGCGATGTTTCACACAAACGCATAGGCCGTGACATGCTTATAACACGCTCCCGTTGGCTTGTGAGGCGCTGGATCAGATAAGCCCGTTGGATAGCATCGAGGACAGCGGAGCAATAGCCTTTTAACTCTCATACAAAACTAATTTCCATGTAAGCATGATATCACCTGGCAAGAACCTCAAAATACCCCGTAACTTGGTGACTATGATTGCCACTATTCGTCATTTTCAGCACTATCTACGCTTGTTTGTTGAATACCGTATGTAGGTGAATGTAGCCCACGTCAGGACTGTTACTAAGCGAGTGTTCCGTCGCTTTCGACGCCCGACGCTGAAGTGTAATTAGCACGCAAGTTCGTCACCTGGCAACCAGAGAAGACAGGTGGATTCCAGAATGTGAGCTTGCAATATGAGCTTACGTATTATAAGAGGAACTTCAATAATGCATTGTCGTGTAGCAACGATGGCATGGAGGTGTCGCTTGTATCTGCGGGAAACATTCTTCTCACAGTACAGAGTGCCAATCATTTGCTGTGCCAAGTGCCAAGAGCTGATCGTTATCTGCACATTGACCGGCTGTACGGTGGAAGTGTGGGAAGCCCAGCTTAGCTCGGGTTAAGTAATCGACGAGTCTCTGGTGGTGTTCGGAATGGACGCATCCACTGCTCACGCGAACAGGGTGTTAGGGGGTGGGATACACCCATCCTCGCCGTATCCCCGTCTCCAACTTCGACACACTGATACACCGATGTGTCACGTCGTCCAAACATTGCCGAGCCTTTTCCTCCATGGTTTAAAGGTTCAGACATGCGTGTGGCACTTGAGGATGGGGGTTTCGGTGGGCAGACCCGTGTCTCTGACGTATCCTGACCGTGACGGAGCGGCCTTCGCGGGTTTGGTACCAGAAGAGGTGCGAGTGCAGCCTCGCCTCTGAGACTGGTGGGACAAATCAGGATTTGGGGCGGGGGGGGGGGGGGGCAGCTGGAATCAGGAGAAATAACGCTACCCAGGTGTGGCTTTTTTAATGGGAAATCATAAAGCATCGTATGTTTAAACCTGCAAATTCGGAGAGACAAAACCACATTTTCGGATAATTAAGTAACATGAATCCGTTGATCAAGTATTTGCATATTCCGAGTAGCAATGCCCGAAAATGGTCGTAAGCGCGCTGCCGGTCGGACTGAGCAGCCGCAAATCCAGAACTGACCCGTGGTGACCGTTGACCTGACCCGACAGCTCCAGCCAACGCAGACGTCTGCGGCCGACGAGGCGGGTGTGTCGGCGCCGACGCTCGGGCAGCTGCTGCTCAGTCTGCGCTACGACCAGGCCACCGGCAGGATGAACGTGTTCCTGAGGCGCGGCGACAATCTGCCCGACTCCCGCGGTCTGGTGAGTCCGACTCCCCTGGTCATGCGGTCCGATGAGTCTGACTCACTGGGTCCTGCGGTCTGGTGGGCCTGACTCTCTGGCTCGCTCGGTCTGGTGAGTCCGACACTCCTGATCATGCGGCTCGATGGGTCTGACTACCTGGTCCCCGCGGTCTGGTGAGTCCTGAGTTCCCGGTTCGCTCGGTCTCTTAATTGCGACTCCAGGTTCCCGCGATCAGGCAAGTGTCTCTCGAGTCCGTCGACACGGTGTTTTCGCCTTCCCGATTCACAAGGTCTGATGATGGTGGTGTGGCAATGCTGCATCCATCGTGCCGAGGGATGATGAGTTGCCTGTTATGGTGACATTGACCATAAAGTAGCATGTGAAACATCACGGGCCTATAGCTACATTTTGTGACCGATTGGATCGCTTACTCCTGGATGATGTCCTTCGAAGGCCCAAAACTGCGACTTCGGATGTTTATTTCCTAATGCACCCATAATATGCTAATGGAAATAGTGTCACCACCGCGGTCCTGGATAAATTAGTTGCGCTCGCGTGTTATCACGCGCAATACGGCACGCCGTGCGTGGGAGTCCGAGACGCGCCGCGCGCCTTGTTTTGCAGACCAACTCGGAGGGGTTAGCTAGCAACTGGACAGCGCAGGTCAAACTGGTCCGCGCTGGCCGCATCGTACAATAGCGCCGCGTGTGAAATCCCTCGCGGCCTTGTGTGGTAAAAGACCGTTGGCGAAATGACCTGGTGAATGTGATCATCGCAACTTGGGTGGTGGGTTCGGTGGCGCGTTCGGTGCACGGAATATGCCCGCTTGGCAGGTATTCCGAATCAAAAACCAGTCGTGCAAACCATTAAAAAAACAAGAGGTTATCGCCGACTCTGCTGTTCACTATTCATAGAGAACGTGATGGGAGCGCTAGGACACCAGAGGCCCGCTCCAAGTCGTTTGGAGCAGGGTTACCACCACTAGGACACTAGAGGCCCGTTCCAAGTCGTTTGGAGCAGGGTTACCACCACTAGGAAACCAGAGGCCCGCTCCAAGTCGTTTGGAGCAGGGCCACTAGCGATAAATCGAGAAACTGCCGACCACCCAAAGTACTCGGTGAAGGAGAGCTGGCTTGACGATGGGTGAAAACACTGCCGAAAGCAGGCAATTCTGGAAATGTCCAGAAAGTAAATGGATTCCACTGAAAATGCTGTTAAAATTCAGACCTATGTAGGAGATGACGTTATTCTATGTCGTTGGCATATCTCTTGTGTTCCAGAGGCTTTTGACCTGTTTTACCCTTCTAGAATGCTTGCATTTGTGGCTTTGGCAGCGGAGTGCACACTGAGTGCACGCTGAGCCCACTGCTCAGCAGTGCAATTCCAGCTTAGTGGAAAATGTCTCCCCTGCGTTCAGTGTTGAAAGTCATGATGCTTATATATATATATATATATATATATATATATATATATATATATAAACGCTGTTTATCTGCGCGATCGCAAGCTTTAGGAGTAAGAACATCGACGCCTGGAGCTGCAGTTTTCGTCCAATTAAGGGGCCTTGGCTACTGCAGGTGACACCAGGCGGCGGGTAGCGGGGGTCGCCAGAACAATTTGGTGTCGTGAGATACAAATTCCGAGAGTCTTTCGAAATCGATTGGCGTTTTAAAAAGACCTGGCGAATATTTTGTGTGCAAAATTGTGTGTTTTACCTCTGAACAGCTTTTACAACACAGCAACACGAAAATACAGATTACACCAATACGTCAAGAGTTGGCAGTGCTGTGCATGCATGCTAGTCGGTTCTCACTATCAGTATCAAAAGTGCGCGGGGTGAGATATAGGTCGAAACTTAATTAAAGCCGCACCAATGCAACTTTGCATTCTTCGCATACCCAGATTTCAATCTAACTGCATGAAGCGTTGAAACGTAACTCGCTGAGGTACGTGATCGCTTTCGTCGTCCCGTCAGCCGTCGCGAAGTCCGCAGGGCCGGCAACGCGGCCTACGGAGACTGCAACGCCTGACGTCGGGGTTTCGTTTCGAAGACTCGCGAGTGTGCATGTTCAAAACTGTCACATGATTTTTTTCACTGCACAGTGCTGAATCAAAGATGAACATGTCCAGATGAATACAGGCTCACCATGTCAAGTCAAATGTTCACTTAATTTCAATATACAATCTGCGTGCAATCCACGGCTTTCTTAATATATATATATATATATATATATATATATATATATATATATATGCATATTATATTATAAAGGAAACCGTGCAACGTCGAATTCCACCGGGCAAAATGCTGGCGATGTATTTGGGAGGGAGCCTTTGCCAGCAGGGCCTCCCTTTGCCAGCAGGGCCTCCCTTTGCCAGCAGGGCCTCCCTTTGTCAGCAGGGCCTCCCTTTGTCAACCCTGTGCCCCCACCGCAATTTGACCGTGCCCTTGGCCAGGCCCTTCGTAACATGTGTTCACATGGCTCAGTCAGGTCAATGAGTCACAGGTATATTTAGTTTGCTATTATCAATACAATTATAATGATGTAGCTGGGAGCTGACATCTGTCATGGACTGTGAAAATATTTAACACGCGCCCGGGCGGCCGGTGGCCATGGGAGGTCACTTCCCCCCCCCCCCTCCCGTGATCTCAGGAACTAAAAGAGCTAGAGACACCAAATACATAGTGTGTTGGCCTGTACGTGAACTCACTTAGGTCATAGTTTGAGATTCCTGGGTTATGACCTTCGGCTTAAAAGGTCAAACAAAGTCAAATTCCAAGCCGGTCTTCAAAATGCCCCGAAATCTAGGTGACTATTCTATGTAAAAGTTTACATGCTCATCTAAGGTCAGTGACTTTGTTGGACATTTTGAAGATTATGGTGAACAAAATGATACGATACCGCTCTAAGTTTTGCATTTGGATAAGCGACAAAAATTACGCAAGGCAGCATGTTCCTTAAAAATGTGGACGTGGGTCATTCTAGGTCAGTGACCTATTCTGGCCCTAAAGAAGTTCATGGAAGGTGTATAATGTGGTTCCCGTTATTAATAAAATTGAAATGGGCATCCGGAACTAACCCATACAGCAAGCGCTAGAGAAATATAACAGGCTGGTTTCGACCTTGGCTTGACCTTCCTATCTGACTTTGTGTCAATATAATTTGTGCATTCAATTGCTGTATTGTCCAAAGACCGTATCTCAGAGATGTATGGATTCGTCTAACACTCCGTTGTTGGATCAGATTGAGCGATTCCCAAAAATTGCCTTCGCTGAAACCATGGCCTGTCTTTACCTGCCATAGGTCAGCGACCTTACAAGGTACATTACATTTTTTATTCTAGGCGATCTGCTATTCAATTGTCTACAGCTATAAAAACTGGCTTGGCTACGTCGCGCCGTTCAGAAACCATTCCGGAAAAACCTTCGGAGAGACAATTTGCCCCCTCCCCCTCCTCCCATCCGAGCGCGTGTTGAAGTAATATGTGTATGTATGCCGCGGACGCATACTTATTACCGTAACAGACCGTTCGGTTTTTGGAAAGTTCGGTCGCTGTTTAAGTTTCTTTTTGGAGCTGATTTCACGTTAATCTTTAAACCAAGGAGACGTCTTCTCTCGTGTATTGTGTGAGAGATGCAGATAGCTCATTTTTCCACGCCTTTTCTTGATGGTTTTACTGTTAAGCTGATGCGCCACACCAGCATGAGATGCCAGCCGTCTGGCCGTGTTTCCCTGTTCCCGTGAGATGACTACCACGTAGAGCTGAGCGGTTCCCAGCTTAATAAGCTGCGAAGATCAATACATACCGCGTCAGTCGGCGGATGTTTCTACCCGCCCGGCGGCGGGGCTCGGGGTACCCGACAGCACCGGGAGCGGACTCAAACCAGGCTCGGGGTACCCGACAGCACCGGGAGCGGACTCAAACCAGGCTCGGGGTACCCGACAGCACCGGGAGCGGACTCAAACCAGGCTCGGGGTACCTGACAGCATTGGGAGCGGACTCAAAACAGGGGTACCCGATAGCACCGGGAAGAAACCAGGCTCCGGCGGTATTCGACAGCATCAGAGGCGGACTCAAACCAGGGCGGTCACAGCTTCAGAGGAGACAGTGAGCTGCTTTTAGGGGCAAGCTCGACCCGAGCCGGGACAGGTGTCTGGAGCCAGCAGAGCTAGTCACCGCCTGCTCGGTACCGTGGTCCGGGCCGGACCGACCGTATGGAGCCAACAGCGCCAGTGACCATTTGCTCGGAACCGTGGCCCAGGTCGGGGCGGTCGTCTGGAGCGGGCAGCGCCGGTCACCGCCCGCTTGGGACAATGGTCTGGGTCGGAGCGGTCGTCTGGAGCAAGCAGCGCCAGTGACCACCCGCTCTGGACCCCGCCCGGGACCATGACCCCGGTCGCGGCGGTCATCACACAGTGTCGTAACGTCCCTTCATTCGTAAAAGCATGCAATTGTGAGATAGGGCAGAGTCGTCATCGTCACGAATTGCAAGTTTTGAAATAGTTAATAACAGGAGCTTAGCATACTCCTGGGTTTGGCTGTGCGGAAGAATTCGGAGCTTTCAGCAAAACATTACGTAGTTGATGACGTCATTAATAACAACGTTTTCGTTAACACGTTCTGCGTGGTGATTTGATAACTCCAGAAATATTCCATCACAAATAAACGTTTGGCAGTATTGAGAACGCCAGTACTGAATGCCGACCGCGTGTTCCTCCGCGTGATCGCTCGGTTTGTTCCGCCGCACCACAACTGCAGCGGAGCTGCGGGGACCACAGCTGTGGTGTCTGCAATCAAAGGCGCAGTGTTGCTCTTTGCTAGACGGGAGTCGAGTGGTTTGCTGCAGAAGAGTAAGCAGCCACTTGATGCCTTTGCATCTTCGCTGTACCCAATGCAGTTTATGATGATGCATGTCTGTCTTGCAAAGGCCGCGGCGTCCTAGTCCGGAAAGCTGCCCATAAAAGTTACATATCCAATAGAATAGAAGCTGGTAAGTCTGAACAAGGGCGGGAAAACTGTACTTTGGTTTGGGTCGTGCTCGGTCAGCAGTGTATGGACCCACGGTCGAAAGAGCTTCATGGCGAGGAGCTTCATAAAGCGATTCTGAACGGTGTGACATGACGCCCCTCCCTCCCTCCCCGCGCAGACTCAAGCCAAATCTGTGGCGAGCCTGAAAGCAAGACCTCGCGCCTCCCCTCTCCAACCCTGACACCTCCCCGTCACGAGGCCTCGTCCCGCGGTGTTCAAGGTCACCGCGTGTCCGCGGTGTGACCTGAGCCATCCAGAAGCGGACCGCCACGGCTGCGCGCGGCTGATTGGTGGGGGCGACGAACACCTGTCAGCTGTTGGCGTCAGGGTGTGTGTGGCGCCGCGCTGGCGTTCGTCGCCGCTCCCAGGGGTCAGTCGCGGCCGCCAGTCGCAACTCCATGGCCGGCGTCGACCGGCACAGAGATGCCCCTCCTCAGGGGTCAGATCACGGCCTCGACAGATGCCCCTCCTCAGTGGTCAGTCACGGCCGCCGTCGCCCCTCGACGGCCGGCGTCTGACCGGCACGAGATGCCCCGCCGCCGGGTCGCCGAGTCGCCCGCCCGCCATGACACTTCGTCTCTTCGTTGGTTGATGGTTTAGCTGAAGACCGTGTACAGGAGTACATTGGAGCGCTCCCGACGCCTCTCGTTCTGTGTTGTTGGCGTGTAGAATTTGGGCTAACTGCAGTACTCGGTACTCAGTATTCGTTATCACACCGCAAACAACAATGTAGGCACTGTCAGTGAATACAAAGCAGTACTGCATGCAACACAAGGTACTAGACTTGACAATCCTGGGCAATATTAACGATACACGGCAATCAAAGATTTGAGCATTCAAAAATATCGGGAAACTACACACCATGTATTCTTGGTGTACAGCAACGGTACAATCACACCTCTAAATCAACCTCATTAATGCTTCTATAATTTTCCCAGGATATTCTGCAATGGTCTACGGTATTGCGCTCAGACATAAAATGGGGTATACCCAAGTTTAATCCTTATCGCTTTTTGAAGAGAATGAGGTATGACAACGTTGAGTGTTTCATGAGACATGACCTTGTCCCCAAAGGTTGTTATCGGAGGGAAATACATTTCATAGTTTCATAATTGAGTGAAGAAATGTTTTTGATGCAGAGGCCACACCATCAGAGACCACAGACATCACACCACAGACAATACCGGCAAGTCAGGCAACCCAGAAGATTTTAAATAAATGATTTCAACATTCGATGATTGTGTCGGAGAAAAATGTGAAACGAATTCATCACACAATTTCAATGCCAGAATGTGACGTTGTAGGACAATGTCTTTCGAATTGTATCATTCAGCGGAATCACTTTCAGCACGTGTCATTCACAGAATAAAAGAAAAACAACGTTTGGACTACAGTTGTTGGAACTGTAGACATTGTGTTGTAAATATATATGGAAAAACAGACTCAGGTATGAGCCTGGTGACACCGAATTCTACACGGCACGAAAGGAACACGGTCCGGACTAAGAGATTGGGTATTGTAGCGACTCTTTTGCATGACGTTTCAATTTGTGGAGAAATGTCACAAGCAAAGTCAAGAGCAAACACTAGAAATGAGAGCATTCAGTTTGCAACAATTGATCAATATTATTGCTTAATTTGTGTGTGCCCCCTGCTGCCTGCCCTCACACCGCGGCCTGTTGTGCTTGGTTGCCTCTTATGGCTGACCGGCGAAGGGCTGTTTCTCCCAAACCCTTTCTTTTCCCCGCACCGGCCTTTGAGCTTGGTGTCCCTTATGGCTGACGGGCGCCGGGCTACTTCTCCCAAACCCTTCCTTTTCCCTCGCACCTGGCCTGTTCATACTTCCAGACATCCTTCCTCCCATCCATCCACCGCTCCTAATCCAGGTATCCTTCCTGTCGTTCCGAGGTGCACGTTAACAGCCAGCAGTGTGGGTGGGTATGCCGGCGTGTTATACGAACATCTGATCCAGCACCTTGTGCTCACCACCGCGGCCTGCTGGTGCCGGCTCCTGGTTAACTGTGGAGCCGCCCCTAAGCGTCCGTGCCGGCCCCAGGTGCGACGTGGCTGGCAAAACAAATGACTTGCCATAGCCGGGGAACACCGCCTGACAATGGGGTCTCGGGCCGTTCTGGTTCATGTCTGTCACGGTTGATGGCCCATGCACCGCCATGCTCAATGTCATCTTTCGCAAATTATGCAAGACAGTGTATGGAAGACGTCATAGTCTGCCTCTTCACGTGACGTGCGATTACAGACATCACGGGTCCCTAGGAGTAGTTTGAGCTGCGCTGTGCGCTGTTATTTTCGCCGTCAGACCAGAGGTCTGCGCCTTCTGACAGTGAGCCTGTTCCCAGGTGAATCCCGAGTTCTTCGTGATCGTGATGCTGCTGAAGGCGGGTGACGAGGTCAGCTGCCAGGAGTCGCGCCGAGTGTCGGGCCGCGCGCCTGTCTGGAACCAGTCCTTCCACTTCGACATCCCCCAGTCTGAGGTCAGTGACGCTAAAACATCGGGGGAGTTGGGGGCGGGGCACCCGAGGCCTCCACATCGCTAGCGGGAGGCCAGTGACGGTAGAGCATCGGAGGAATGGGACAGAAAGAAAAAAATGTTGTTTGTTTCCTGAGCTGCTTTCCCGTCTGGCACTACGTATATTTACACAATGCCATAGAGCCAAAATTAGTTACTTTACCGGGGTTAGCTTACCCCTTTTCCAACAATCAACCGTCCTGTCGCTGACATGCGAAGGCGCTCAGGGCAGAGGGGGGGGGGGGGGGGGTAAACGATGTTCAGCCGTCGGACGCAAAGCCTTCCTTCCCGCCGACCGACAACCGGGGGCAGCCATGCCGAAGCAGCAGTTAGGACGGCCTGTCGGCTGGAGGTGTGGGTGAGCTTGTGTCTCCACATGCTGCGAGACGTAACCTATGTTGGGAGTAAAACACAACTAACCCTACGTCTTTTGTTCTAATCGTTTTGAGCACCCATACAGGTTTAATAAGAAGTTCATCGCTTGACTGAATCGAATAGCGATGATTAAATTATTTCCCGTCTCGCAGATGTTTAGCGTCTTCAGAATTGTAACAGGCTGTGTTGGTGTGCGTGGTGGGCGCTATAAGCCGACCTTCACGAAACGCCGCTCTGAGGACCTAACACCGACTTCGTGACCAGTGCCAAAGGAGAGGAGTAAAACAATAACACTAAAATGAGCCGGCTCTGTCAGTACATTCACACTTTTATCGGGCCTCTGCTCCAGCCTGAGGTATGCTCTACCTACAGCAGATGTTTCGAGCCTCTCATTTACGGCCATTTGCAATAGTCGCAAAATGCAAGGGCTGGTAGCAGTGCCAAAGTATGGCAAGACATAGTACATTGATGTATTATGCCCTATGATGAGCTATAAGCCATACGGGCATCAATGATGCGGCATGTTCTGATTACGCAACCTTTCCAGCTCATAGATGTCTTTGAGCCGGATGATATGCCGCCTGCCGATCGTCACGATTGTCTGTTATGTCTGCGAGGCACGCCAGTTTCCCTCAGCTGCGACTGGCTCGGCGTGCCGCCAGCTGGAGATTCACTGGATCCAGTGTATCGTGATGGTGTGTCGTGTGTGTCGCCAGCTGGAGATTCACTGGATCCAGTGTATCTTGATGGTGTGTCGCGTTGTGTCGCCAGCTGGAGATTCACTGGATCCAGTGTATCGTGATGGTGTGTCGGATCTACGCCCGCGAGCGGCGAGTCGGCTTCTGTCAGCTGGGACCCGACACGAGCGTCACTGGAGCCCAGCACTGGGAGCAAAGCCTGAAGTCGCGGCGCGACGATACGCCGCGCTGGCACGCGCTGCTCCCAGCACCCGAGTAGTGACATCTAGCGCCAACGTTTGGAGCTATTAGTGATGGAATCCTCCACCAGTCTCTTCATGGTTGGACATTGTACAGCTCTTTTGTGTGTCTTATGGAGGAAAGGACGGTGGGTACGACTGTGTCTCGGACGGTGGTACTCTAACTTTTTCGAAAAGTTCGTGATTGCAAACATTTTTTTGCCGCAATTCAGCTAAGTGATGTGGCGCAAGACTGTGGAAACCGCCGCTTGACAAGTGATCAGTGGCGATTGATGTGTACATATTGCTGCACTGTCTGTATCAGGGCATGACCTGTAAAACGTGGATGGAATATCCCAAATAGTTCGCGAAACCCGCATCACCTCCCTTAGTGTTTTTTTATTGTAAGTCGTGGCCTACAGCCTATATAAAGGCGTTATGTATCCGGATTTGATTTAAAATCGTGATGTTCCCCAGTCCATTTCTGTTTTATGTTGTATAATGTGGTGTCTGAGCTGCGCACAAGAGCTTTTGGATTATTGGCCAGCAGACGAATGCCTATTGCGATATTCCTAGAGTGTAGGGTTTCCAGATGCCCTTATTTAAAAACAATATATAATCATCCTTCGTAACCTGTACTGCAAACCCCTACCGATATGGGCAGACAATGGTAAATGATGACACTTGAACACATGCTTTGCTAACCCAAGATCGAAGTTGTCTCACGCTGGAGAAGTACGAGGAAAGTTATGGCTGGCAACTAAGTGCCGATCGTCGAGTCGACCTGTTATTTCATGTGCCACTTTCCAGGCTTACAAACCATTCCTGGTCATTGCAATGAGGTAGTAAGGTCTACGTGCGGAATGTGTTGATCCTACGTGATGAAGTTCTGCAGCAGAAACCATAAAATGTCTTCAATTTCCAAAAATACAGAAGGGAATTTTATGCAACCTTTGTGCCATTGTTTGTTGTCGCAGCATAGGTTCAAAAAGAAAATAGAGCTTGCGCTCTCAACGTGCGCGTATGAAAGCTAAGTCTTTGTACCCTGCGTTGGAGCTGAGAACTGGATGTAGTGCTACGCTGGTTGTGTTTTCAGTAATGCCGAACTAATCTACGCTAGCTGTAAGAAGTGTGTTTACAAACGGAAAGATCAGATCACGGTGGGGAGTTTATTGAAACAAACACAAGATTCCAGGCTACTGCGAAACCCAGAAGTCATATCCAAGCGCGGTAACTAGTGCCAGTTTTCGCGCGCCATACCCTTCGGTGGTTGCCGTCCAGGTCCAGCCATCGCACAATTGTGTTAACATCGTATCAGGTATTCAAACGTGAAACCGCACCACTTCAGTGATACGATACGGAAGCGACAACACTCACAGGTGATTGTTTCTAGGAACAGCCCGAAACTGCGTGAGGTAAAACTTTGTACATGCTCACGAAAGATAGATTGAGACGTGTTTTAGACGTTTCATGGTGTTTGATTCGAGCGTTGGTGCACGATTGCACCCGTTGCCACGTCATGCAGTACTAACGGAGTGGTCGGATGTCTTTACGTGGTAATGTATCACTCCCTGAGCAGTAATAGTTAGTTCAACGATAGAATGTCCATCCCGAGCGTGTGAAGGCATCGCATCAAGCACACATCCAGACGCACATTGCACTGAGTGCTCATCTCGAACACGAACGGCTAAGCAGAGCGGGCAAATATACAAACAACGGGTGCGGCGGTGTTCTAGGTGACTACACGGACTACCAGCCTAAAACATGTCCTCACACTGATCAGAAAGTGCCGCCCTGCAGGAGCACTTCATAATCTTGCACACAACGGCGTTCATTTCGAGTGCCCCGTGAGATCCGGCCTTCCACCGCAAGTCCTCGGCGGTGCCACGGGGCTTCCCACGACGGCGCCCCGCCCGGACGCACAGCCAACTTATAGTTGTCTTTCAAGCTCGAGGTGGCAGCACTATACATGCTTCTCTAGACCCGAGCCAGCTTGGGCTGGGCGAACAGCACTCCTTGATAGACGATGCCGTTCATCTCCATGCTCAGCACCATACTGCTGTCACCTGCAGAAAAAGTAACAAATAGATCAGCTTAACAAGCATTTCAGATTTAGTTGTGCTCATCGCGAATTTCTTGCGAGAATTTGCGCGCATTTTCCTCTCGAGAACCCTGGAGGGCAGATGCTGCCAGAGCAGAGCTTCATTGCAGTGGGTGTGTCTGTGGTGTAAGCATGACCTTAAGCATTCATAAGAGATAAGATTATATGTGCGAGGCACCCGCTTCAGGTCCAGATATCCCCCAGTATCACTGCCCCCACAGCATCGCATTGCTGGGAGACCAGGGCGTTGCTGGGAGAGGCATTCCTCTTCCTCACTCCTCGGTTCAGGCTTTATTGCTGAACGATTGGAAGTCGATCCCGCTTGTTGGAAACGATATCCCTGGATTTCGGGACCTGGCGGAATCCTTTGGAAGACCTTCTTTTGGGAGAAGTTTTATTTTAGTTCGAGGTTGGGGATGTTTGAAGTTTAACATGTACTTTTAACGAGCCCGTGGTTTTGGTGTGGGGGTACATTTTCTTGAACACGTACCTTTTGGAGAGATACTGGTTTTGGTGTGCGGGGCTTGGTCCGCCTTGTTTTCTTCGTCCTCCTGGCGGGTTTTCTTGGAGCGGTGCGTCGACTCCTGACGCTCTCTCTTCGTCGGTCTTTTGCGCTCGCGGACCCGCTCAGTGGCGCCCTCGTGACTCCTCCTATGCTCTCTCTCACGATCGCGCTCTCTTTCTTGTCTGCCAAAGCGTAGGAGAAAGCCATGAAGCACGTGATTTGGTGGAGTTTCACTAGCACCAGGTCCGTGCGGGATATGACATGTCTTCCCAAAGATGCACGTGATTTGGTGGGGTTTCACTAGCACCAGGCCCGTGCGGGATATGACATGTCTTCCCAAAGAAGCACGTGATTTGGTGGGGTTTCACTAGCACCAGGCTCGAGCGGGATATGACATGTCTTCCCAATGAAGCATGTGATTTGGTGGGGGTTTCACTAGCGCCAGGCCCTCGCGGGACTTGACATGTGTCCCCAATGTTAAATGCTGTGAACACACCCCGAGACGAGACGCATCACTCTGCTATTGTCGCAGCCACTAATCTGACAAAGCCCCTTCAAAGACAATGTTCAGATTAACCACACCTCACCTGGCCATCTCCCTGTGAACGCCGAGGTTGAGGGCCTCGCTCTGCGGCGCCAGGCCCATGCCCTCGGGCCTCCTGAGCGGCGGCGACGGCGGCGGCTGTCTGTTGCTGTACAGGTTCCACAGCGTCATCAGCGTGTCGTTGGGAGTCGGCATCCCCGGCGGACACATGCCGGCCAGAAACGGAGAGCCTGCAACGGCAGGACGCGGAACGGTCAGATCGCCGCCACAGTGGAGACCCGAGGTGTGACTGTTGCCTTGCTCTTGGCTGGGACGGCGTAGCATTCGGTCCGCGTTCATCGCTGCCCCTCTCCCCGGCACAGGAGTCCTGAACTCCTACGCAACTTGAAAAGCCCGCGGCCATAAGCCTGCCATCAGCCACCGTCCGTACTGGGATGGGCCCTCTTGCGGGCTCCGGCTGGCTCGGTAGACCGGCGGCACCTCTCAGCTCTCGCCAGGGACTCCAGCTAGCTCGGCAGACTGGAGGCACCCCTCAGCTCTCGCCAGGGACTCCAGCTAGCTCGGCAGACCGGCGGCACCCCTCAGCTCTCGCCAGGGACTCCAGCTAGCTCGGCAGACCGGCGGCACCTCTCAGCTCTCGCCAGGGACTCAAGCTAGCTCGGCAGACCGGCGGCACCTCTCAGCTCTCGCCAGGGACCCCAGCTAGCTCGGCAGATCGGCGGCACCTCTCAGCTCTCGCCAGGGGCTCCGGCTGGCTCGGCAGACCGGCGGCACCCCTCAGCTCTCGCCAGGGACTCCAGCTAGCTCGGCAGACCGGCGGCACCCCTCAGCTCTCGCCAGGGACTCCAGCTAGCTCGGCGGACCGGCGGCACCCCTCAGCTCTCGCCAGGGACTCCAGCTAGCTCGGCAGACCGGCGGCACCTCCCAGCTCTCGCCAGGGACTCCAGCTAGCTCGGCAGATCGGCGGCACCTCTCAGCTCTCGCCAGGGGCTCCGGCTGGCTCGGCAGGCCAGCGGCTCAGTCCTCGTCAGGGACTCCTGTGCCGTACCCCCACCCCAGCGTCGTAAACGGAGCCCCGGGGCGGCTGACGGACGTTAATGTCCCACCAGCGATCGCGAGCGCTGCAGCTGGCCGCCGCACTGTCCGGCCCACGGGCTGCTCCGCCAGGCTGGAGAAGCCGCGCCGCGTGGGGGGCCTCCCGGGCACCAGGCGGCTCTCCCCGGGCACGTTGTGAACGTCCGGGTGCACAGCGCCAGCACGAGACCGGTAAGTATGTGTTATGATGATGTACGCTGATTCCCATCAGCATCGGACGCAAGAGATAGTCAAGGCTGCAGGGCATCACAGTGCAGCCTTTGTCCGCAGAGATCGCCAGGGAAGAAGATTCAGTGCCGCAGCAGAGCTAACAGACCGAAAGGTGACGTCAGTGCCTGTGACTGCGCTGTGGACGCGGAGCTTCAGCCCGGGACGGTCCCGTTCGCAGGCGCAATCGAGCGCATCTTACTGAGCAGCCCACAGAGCGGACTGAGAACAATACCGTCACAGGCTGCCACGTGCAGGCCTGGTGCTGGGAGACAATGAAGCAGACACCGACCTGCGATGACGCATCGGCCGTTTCCCCCCACAAAGCGACAGTTGCCGCGCCTCCACTGCAGCCTTGTCACATGCTCGACAATTCCATCGGGTTTTTATGGCCGGGTAATCGGCCAAGTGGAAATCAAAGTGGCCGGTAATTGTCTACCGACCGCCAAATATGTCACCGGGCGGCCACGGGCAAGGCTGGCGACGGCCGGGCGCGATCACAGTGCCAGAACAGCCAATCAAAATAGCCGGCTACGGCGCGGCAGCACGCACGTCCGCGGCAAATATGGGAACGGCTGGGCTTTCGGGAGCCGGCGCCGGCCAGCTTCGCAATCAAGAGCGCGGGGCAAGCGCGCGCTGCCAGCTCGTAAAGCGGCCGACGATGCGTCGCTGATGCCGGCGGTGGCGTCAGCTGACCGGCCGGGGCCGCTGCCGGCCGACCCGCTATGCAAATCCACCACGGCGGGCCGCCGGCCGCCGCCCAGCGGTAACGATGTTTTAAATGGGGCACCCGTGAGACCGCACCGGACGATTTAACAGCTCGTCTGTTTCGGACGCGGCCCTGCGGCGTTGTTCCCCTGGTTTTCTGGACCGAAGTGGGGTCCACGGGCTACTGGAGACATCGGTTCCGACAGCAGCGTGATGGAGCGAGATCGATTATGAAAAAATCAGACGGAAAACGGCATGTGGTAAAAACGGATGGATGAGGGCGATTTTCGGACGTTTGGCTAAAACGGCGGTGATTTCGGGATGTGGGACACATTATTTGAACACATGGAATCGTTTAGTGAGCATTTACGCGGCGAATACGGCAGATAAGCACAATGGACCATACATAATATGGCCGTGGCAAAACAGCGGATCGCATTGTTACATGGCGGGGAACCGCGGGTAATCCCTGTTAGGTTTGGCCCAGGTCGCGCGCTGACAGGAGAAACCATACCACTCCCCGCCGCTGATCATCGCCGAATGCTCTACACCAGAGCACGCAGCAATTTCTTGGCGCGCGTTGAATGTATGCGGCCGCCCGCTCGCCCGCTGTAGTCTCCGCGTGTCCTTCGCTCTGCGCCGGCGGAGCACGCTGCCACCGGGCCCCGTGTGCCGCCATCGCGCACCGCCCGCCGCCACCGGGTCCCGCGCGCCGCCACCGGGTCCCGCGCGCCGCCACCGGGCCCCGTGTGCCGCCACCGGGTCCCGTGTGCCGCCACCAGGCACCGTGTGCCGCCACCGGGCACCGTCCAACGCCACCGGGCCCCGTGTGCCGCCACCGGGCACCGTGTGCCGCCACCGGGTCCCGTGTGCCGCCACCAGGAACCGTGTGCCGCCACCGGGTCCCGTGTGCCGCCACCAGGCACCGTGTGCCGCCACCGGGCACCGTCCAACGCCACCGGGCCCCGTGTGCCGCCACCGGGCCCCGTGTGCCGCCACCGGGTCCCGTGTGCCGCCACCAGGCACCGTGTGCCGCCACCGGGTCCCGTGTGCCGCCACCAGGCACCGTGTGCCGCCACCGGGCACCGTCCAACGCCACCGGGCCCCGTGTGCCGCCGCCACCTGTGCCGCCACCGGGCCCCGTGTGCCGCCACCAGGCACAGTGTGCCGCCACCGGGTCCCGTGTGCCGACACCGGGTCCCGCGCGTCGCCACCGGGCACCGTCCAACGCCACTGGGCACCGTGTGCCGCCACCGGGCCCCGTGTGCCGACACCGGGTTCCGCGCGCCACCAGGTCCGCCACTTACTGGGGGGCAGCGGGGTGACCGTGAGCGGCCGCGTTGGCCCCGGGTCGGCTGGTGACCAGAGGAAGCGGGGGACAGTCCCGACTGCTGCAGTGTCGTTGGCAGCCCGTTCGCGAGTCCAAACGACTGGGCCATCGATCTGGAACGGCATCAGAGGGTGTCAACAGCACTGGTCAGATGCAGAACATATGCCATTGCTCAGGTGATGCGGGGCACGTATTTGTTTTTAAAATGTTCCAAGAGGGAAGCCGCCATGGGAGGTTTCTGCGGGTTGCGCATCGACACATACCATCCATACACATTTCTGGCTGCAGACAAGCCTATGCAAGGCCGGATACGTGCACAAAGGTTCGGAGCCGAAAGAAATGCTTAAATCAGCCGTCTGAAACGCAAATGCAGCTTTGGTTTATCCCTCTGCTGTCCGCCGAGTGCGGGTGGTGTACCTACCCGGCCATCAGTGGTGACCTCTGCATCAGGTCGGCGTAGGAGGCGTTGTTGTAGGTGCTTCGGCGGCCCTCGCGCCGGTTACCGTCGATAGCCACCTGCAGCTCGGACGGGCTGCTGAGGCCCTGCTTCTGACACTCGTACGGGTACAGGTACTTCATGTACCTGCGGCACAATGGAGACCTCGCTGTACCACACGAACAGCTTGGGTATGTGATGCAGGGCTCGAAGCGGCAGAGGCCGGACACCCAGTACTACAGTCCTCGAACTCGAGCATCTGCAGCATCGTGTACCTGTCTGGCACTGCCCTGCCCCGGCCGTGTCAGCCAGGCTGAGGCTGGACCGCTGCCTGAGGCAGGACGAGGCGCCCAGGCAGAGCCTGAGCGCCTCGCATCCGAAGTCGTCAGGCCGACCGACCCGACCGGGCGCTGATCGCGGAGCTCTGACTCGAGCTGCGACTCCGAAGCGGCTCTGGCTCGGGGCGCAGCTCCGGCTCAGGCTGCGGCTCCGAAGCGGCTCTGGCTCGGGGCACGGCTCCGCAGCTCAGAGTGCGGCGCCGAAGTGGCTCTGGCTCGGGGCGCGGCTCTGAAGCGGCCCTGCCCCGAAGCGCAGTTCCGAAGTGGCTCTGGCTCGGGGCGCAGCTCAGAAGCGGCTCTGGCTCGGGGCGCAGTTCCGAAGCGGCTCTCGCTCGGGGTACGGTTCCGAAGCTCGGGGCGCGGCTCCGAAGCTAAGGGTGCGGCTCCGAGGTGACCCTGGCTCGGGGCGCGGCTCCGAAGCGGCTCTGGCTCGGGGCGCAGTTCCGAAGCGGCTCTCGCTCGCGGTACGGCTCCGAAGCTCAGGGCGCGGCTCCGAAGCGGCTCTGGCTCGGGGCGCTGCTCCGGAGCTCAAGGCTCGACTCCGAAACGACTCTGACTCGGGGCGCGGCTCCGAAGCTCAAGGCTCGACTCCGAAGCGACTCTGGCTCGGGGCGCGGCTCCGAAGCTCAGGGCACGACTCCGAAGCTCAAGGCTCGACTCCGCAGCGGCTCTGGCTCGGGGCGCGGCTCCGGGGCCGGGGCACGTGACCGAGCGCGCCGCTGATTGCAGCCGTGATGCACGGAGCCGCCGCACGCCACGGAGCCGCCGCCTGCGGCGGGCTGGCGGGGCCGCCCACAGCAGCGGCGGCGCTGCTGTCCCCCGAACAGGTGCTAGAGGTCTGTACCGCGCGACCTCTGGGGTGTGATTGTGAAGCTTGATGGAGTCCAGGCACCAACCCAAGTGCCAGCCCAGGTACCAGCGGCTACTTATTCCGCCTTATTGCAAGTCCATCTGAGCGACCCTGCGTACCGCTTCCTGCGGCATCTAGTGCGAGACCGCTGAGCAGTGCGACCAATGAACGCCCTCGGTGATTCACACAACTCAGCCGGTTCTGCGCATTGTTCCGCTCTGGCTGCTCATTGCAGATCCAGCATCAGCTCTCTGAGTTTGAAGCATTGGGCTTATCCAAAGTCTCTCCTAATTTGGGTGGTAAGTCTCTGTCTCTCGTGCATGCATGCCTCTCGTTTCGCCAGTTGTTTTGTTACTACGAAAAGATGTGTTCAGTTTGGGTCTTAATGCATGCCCTAAAGGTAGCGCAAAACGCCTGCCTGTTCTTTTGTACCGCATGTTTCGGTGCTGGAGGGGCACGGTCCCACAGGCCGTCGGCCGACTCGTGGACACCAGATCGGCACACCGCTGACTTGGTCGCCTCTGGGCCGCGAGGCTGGAGTCCGAGGTGCGGACTCTGGCGTCTGACGCCCACCGCGCACCACCATCCCAGGCGAGCTCCGCCGAGTTCGCGCCGCCTCTGGGAACCGCTCGCGTGATGGAAACCATTGCCACCCCTGTTTTATTGATATTAAATCCTAGAACCGGCCGGCCAAGGCTGCGGCGTGTGCTCGTGACCGATGGGATCGAGTAATTGTTTGTGTAATATTGCAGAGGCTGCAGTGTGCCCCCAGCCCGGCAGCGGGTCCGCCTGCCACCTCGCCGAGGGCAGCGGGCATGGCACCGCGTCTGCATACTGACTCCGACCGATATGTGATCAGTGGGTTTATGACGCGTTGAAGGGGACATTGCGGGCAACACATCATGTGAACAGCCGACATTCATGGCATCAGACTCCATCCATCGAAACTGAAGTGGCCATTTGGTGTCTAGTTGTGAAATAACTTGCACCGTCACGTATCTACACTGATACCACACACACGCTGAGCAACGACGTGTAACGTAACACAAATGTAGGATCTTTGTATTATCACTCCGTATCGTATCATAAGTATGTGCTTGCTTTGAAAGCTTAGCTTTCCATAACCGACCTCCAACGTGCTGATTGTATATGAAGGTGAGGTTCCGATAGTACCAGCAGACATCGCCCGCCAAGCGTGCGCTACACGAGCATCGCTCGAGCAGCGCAGACTAACACATACGGAAGACCTGACCTGACGCAAGATGAGTGCATCCAACGTTTGGTGTTGAAGTCGTGTGTTTTTCCTCACAAGCGGTGCACACAGTCATCGAGTTGGTATGTCCAGGTTTACTAACGCCTTCAGTTCGAAAAGTTGGGGTCTGTACGATATCGCAGGACATCGCAGACGACGGCACGATGTGGCTGACACGTTCCCGGAGACCACAGCAGCCCGCTCTTTCACGCCGCGTTCAACGCAGCCGTCCATTCTCCCTACGCGCTCAGCCACATGGCCAACAGCACAACGGAGCCAATCCCGTCTCCACCCCGTGGTTAGGAGGAATTAGAATGTTAATATTTCTGTAATTGCAGGCTGCGGCCGCCTTTATCCGGCGATGCATCTTTTTATGTGGGCCGCGCCGCGCCGGGCGTCGCTCAGCCGACGGCGGCCGCCGGCCTCGCCGACTGGCCACCTCCGGCACCGCCGGTTTTTGCCGGCGGGCTCAGTGTGCGATGACACGACCAGGCGGGCAGCGGAGAACAGAGGGGGAGAGACCGACAGAGGAAGGAGACCGGCAGAGTGACCAAGGAGCAGAGAGACAGAGCGGAGTGACAGGGTGATACAGAGGGAAGCACCGGCAGAGGCGGTAAGAGGTAAAGAAGACATCAGGGTGTGAAACTGACAGAGGAGGGAGGAAACGGAAAAGCAGAGGAGGAGGCAGAGGACGAAGCATAGCAGGAAGAGGAAAACTAACGCGGGAGATGTGGGCACAGGCGGAGGATACAGAAGGGCAAGGCGAGACGTGCGGAGGAGGGAGGGAGTGGGGGAGAGAGGGGACACAGCAGAGGAGGCAGCGGCCGGGCAGACAGGGTGGCAGAGGTCAGGAGGGATTAGAACCCAATATGTCTCGTGATGTAGGAATATGGAAAGTCATCCGGGGGCGGCGGTCAGTTCTCGGTGCCGCGGTATTGCTACACAGCATGCGACGACGTTTAGCATGCGGCGACAACGTCTCTGCCCCTGACGTCGCCCGGCGAGCAATGCTCCGGGCGGAACATGGCCAGACAGACAAAGGTCAGGGACACGGCATTCGACAGAGCGATGTTTTCGTTCCTTGTTGTAAAAATGACTTGACCTGTGTAGTTGTCGGGTTGCTGACGAAAGCACGGATAAAAAACTTCGTGTGGCAATTGTGCGTAGGGTAAAGTTCGCATGTTTAAAGCTTGTAGAGACAAAGTGCGTGGAGCGCAAAGTTCGCATGGGATGAAGTTCGTATGTTCGACAAAAAGTGTTTGTGATCGTGAATGTTGGTATGAAAAAGGTTCGTACGCAGCTAATCGCACTCAAAGTTTGTTTGACGAATTATGTACGCCAACGTTTGCGTGCCGATACAATGCAGGCAGGTAAAGTTCGTCTGACAAAAATACCTGTGCCAAAGTTCTAACGACGATGCATCATGAAGTGTGCAAGGTTCGTGCGCCAAACCCTTTTAATTGGGACAAGTCCGTTTCACAAAGTACATAAATGAAAGATCGTCTGCAACGGTGTAGCGCGGGCTCGAGTACAGATCCCCAACCATGGTATCGCGTTTCTGATGATTGGTCGCTGAGGGAACCATCATATCCCGTAGACCGGGGACGGGGGACTGGGTAAGCCAGAGACAACGGTCATTTCATAGGTCAGGTCCAAAATTATGACTAGCCTAAATCTTCATGTCAAGAAACTAAATGTTATCCGGCGGCCAGCAAAGGAATCCGAATCAATGGCAGCAGCGCAAGACGTTCCTGGAATGGAAGGGACGACAGGTGAGATGTTCACCGCGGACCATCTGCCGTGTTTGCTGTGTATCCAATTGCTCTGTTACCATGACGATGGCCGTGTCGACGCCCCGCTCCAGGCCTTCTGAGTGTGCCGCGCAGGCTAGCTGATGGCTGTGGCAGGGTCAGCTCGCTCGTGTAATACGGCCGGGCAGACGAGCGAGTGACACCCGATATAAGCGTCAGAGCAGATTCCGGGGAGAAAGATGCACCTCATACACCCGCTTCGATGTACTTGCTTTCATTAGGACCTTGCTGGCACGGATAGAGCTAAAACTTACCTAGTCAAATTATATGCATTAGATCAACCCGCGGAGACCAAATCCCAGTGAAATCTGAGAGCTGAGGGTCCGTAATTTGGTGTCCCAGTGGTCGATCTGTCTTGGAACACCCTCCATATCAGCATGATTAATAAAACTAGTGACCTTATGGCTAATGTTTACGAGCTTTTGGATGAGCTTCATCCCTTGCGAGCTTTTACGCACGTATTTTTGTCAAGCATTCTTCGCACGCTACGACCCTTTGCATGCGTGTAATCATTAACGTACATGTACGCACATACCTCATGCATACCAAATTTTCAATGCGAACTTTTGCCTTGACAAACTTTTATCAATACGAACATCTACCATGCTTACTTATAACATATAAACATTTGCATGCGAACTGTTGTGTACGTATTTCTGTTATACCAACTAAATACCTGAAGCACATTTTCTTACGAACAACGGCGCAGATACCACCATATCCATCCCGGCTTTTTCCCACATCTTTTCCTCCTGCAGCCGTAGTTTTCATGGTGCGGTGTCTCTCAGCGTGGGCCGCCGCACGCTGCAGCCCAGACGGGCTTCGGAAAACGCCTCACTGGCCGCACCTCAGTCGACCACTACCACACGCTATGGTCGGACAACGCTGAGGTCGCCCAGTGAGTGTTTTTGGGCGCTTTTATGCTTACAATGTGTAGCTGGCTTCGGGTCTGCAGCTGCTCTGCTTGCTGACATCTGACATCAACCGTTAAAGCCCGCCCGAACCGAGCGGACCTGTGGTTGACGCTCAGGAGACCGTGGCCGGCCGAACAGTTGGGCTCGCCCGGATCAAAAGACGCTGTTTGTTTTCTGTTGCGCCAAAATGCACCGATCTTGTGCGGCCGCGATGCCGGGTTGTCGAGGGCAGGGGTCAATTTTGACACATGTTTCCTTTTTCGCGATTCGGAAGTTTTACGTTCACCACGTTAATTGAATGGGAAGAGCAAAATTTTGAATTAATGCAATGCTGTAGATAGTCACGCTGAACAGCTGATTGAACAGCTGTGTATCAAAAACCCAAACATTTATACAGCGTGAAACTGTGCTGACTTGTGCTCGACATCGGTGGCAATCTATGGAGTTGGCGCAAAATACCGCTGCAGTCGAAACGCCCCTAAATCCAACGATCATCATCATCAAGCCGTGTGGAGCTCCAATCAGTGCTTGCAAAGATGCTCTCTTTCGAAAACCTCGAGGCCATTCTAGGCCTTGCCAGTCAAGTCAAAAACGGTTTTGTCGTTCAAATAAGACTTGGTCGGACAGCAGACTACTCGTAACATGCAATGAAGGAGGCCGGTAACATCATAAACGTCGTGGCAGGCACTGATTGGTCCGGCCACGCCTGGTGAGCCACGTCCAGTGCGGACAGAACGGGCGGCGCCGGCGGGCAGCGGCCATTGCAACAGCGGCAGCGTCCCGGCTGTTCCCTCCCCCCGTGCCCGTCTCATTAGGCGGTCATTACGGGCGCCATCCGTCGGTGACCCGGGACATTATTGCGTGACGTCAGGGCGGATAAGGCAGGGCGTCCGCCCGCTGCTAACGCGCTGCTGAGCTGCAGCGGGACAGCACGCACTTCTCAGCAGCGGACCCGTCTGCAAAACATCGCGGGTCGGGCTTTAGGGAGCGAGAGCACTGTAGGAAAATCATATTTGCACACGGCACTGTGTGACAATAATCCCGACGCAAAACAATACTCGGTAATAATGGTCGTTTGCCGACTCCTCAAGTTTCAGGTTGCAAGCGTCGCGAGCTCTCGCGGCCACTTCTGCAGGTGGAGCTAGTGAGCCTTGCGGTGAAATGGAGGTGCCCCTAACGGCAGGAGACATGCAGTCCATTTGGCGCAGAACGGCACAGAGTTTCCTCTCACTTTCGTGGGGAATCAAAAAGCGCTTCACCGCAGATGAATTGGTACCGAGGTTCAGGTTGTACAACCTAAAGAAGATTGACCTGATTTTGCTGGTGGCTTGGACCCGCAGCGCGCGGCAACAGACACCAACCAAGGACGCAAGAGCGGCGTAGTTATGAGCTGAGTCTTGACCGCGGCATCTGATGACGATCAATGCTCGAGATAGAAACGGATCGGGTTGCATGCAAGGTATGGTCATTATATTTATAGCCTGGAGTTCATTCGAACCGAGAACATGCTCGTTGACCTGTTTCCTAATTGATAGTGCATCGAAGTAAATCGATTAACCTTTGTGCTGGACGATATTATCGTTACACGGTTACATAATTTGGCATCATTAACTCACTCCATAATTCAAATGAACCGCATGATCTTTATTCCACTACGCCAAATAGCGTGATAATCACCCAAATTAAACACAGTTTGGAAAACTGATGGGCACTCGATGTATCACGTGTCAAACCCAACAGTTCAGGTCATGTCCATTCCCATCCTGATCGTATTCAGCTATCTTTAATTAAGTATCGTCAGGCCGCGGGCCTGCAGAATGAGTTGAGGGCTTGAGGCCCACCGCCAGCCGCCAAACGTCCCGCGATCATCAAATGCTTTTATTATTTACGTTCAGTTGTTCGCTTGCAGGCAACGTTTGTGGTTCTTGCGACATATGGCCAGTGTATGGACGACCTGACGAGATTTCGTCCCGCACTTGTATTTATCTCGGAAAGCAATCGGCCACACACCGAGCAACATGCACTATGAGCCAATCATGTAGAGCTGCTCGTGTTAATTAGATGGAGAAATTAGCAGGAACCAAATTGGGTTGAAGCAGATTTGATCCCAGTCACGAACTTACGGAGGTTACCGCAACCTCTACACATCGAGTGCTCGGAAGACGCTTCTGCATAGGTTTGAACTTACTGTGTGCGCAGGGTGAAGGCTGCGGAGGTGATGGAGGAGGGCAGCTTCAGGCCCTTAATGATCTCCTGCCACAGCTTCTTGTTGATGACCTGCACAAGACCGCCCTGCGCCACCACCAAGTTGTACAGCTCGTACATGTCCAACACCTGCTTCGCCATGATTGGCAGACGGTTTATCGGAGTCCCTGTAAAAACGAGAAGCATGCCGTCAAATCGTTCCGCTATCTGTCCAGGTGGGTATGTTTGCCGCCGGACATGGCTGGGTAGCCAGAGAGCGGGGCTGCGCACCGCCTCAACGAGCGTCACTGCGCGGGCTGGCACTCAAGTTCCGTCCCATCTCCACATCTTGACGACGTGAAACGTCATTACGCACTTTTTTGGCGGCAGCTTTTTGCTTGTCTCGAGAGCACGAATCTGATGCGTGTTTTTGCCAGCTTTACAGGTGTTTCAAAACAAGGAAAACACGATCGCTGTCAAGGCACTCCCTCGCCGAAAAGCGGCGGTCTTCTGAGTGGAACCAGCACTTCGTCTCCCAACTTCTGCCATATAAACCACGATGGACACGGCGACGGACAAGCGTTTGGAAACAACAGCTCCACTGCACCCAAGCAACATCCACCGACAGCATAGTTCCCTTTATTGCTGTCCAATCCCAAGGCAGCGACATAGAACAAAGCTTAAAAACAGAGTGCCCAACATCACACAGCACTCTCAAATATAAAGAACTAAGTAGCCGTCCATCGGACGGCTCCCGTTCATCCTACCATAGGTCGCCTGACCTGACCCCTTCCAGCAGAGCCTCTCTCTCCGTACCAGCGCCCACCACGTCGATACAAATGCCCCATCGCCTGTCTGGTTTAGAGCCGGGGCCGCATCGGTCCGGTTTGATATTCACGGGCAGCACTGGCCCCGACGGGGCTCCCGTCTCTTATGAGCCGGAGCAATGCTTAATTCATCATGAGAACAGGCGGAGCGCTGCGGGCGACGGCCGGATCCGACGCCGGTGCGATCAGGCCCCGGCCGGTGTGGCCGCCGGGATGTTGCATATCCTCAGATCCGGCGCTGGTGCGATTTGGCCCCGGCCGGTGGGCCTGCCGGGGTGCTGCATATCCCCAGATCCGGCGCCGGTGCGATCAGACCCCGGCCGGTGGGACCGCCGGGGTGCTGCATATCCTCAGATACGGCGCCGGTGCGATCAGGCCGCCGGGGTGCTGCATATCTTCAGATCCAGCGTCGGTGCGATCAAGCCCCGGCCACTGGGGCCGCCGGGGTGCTGCATATCCTCAGATCCGGCGCCGGTGCGATCAGGCCGCCGGGGTGCTGCATATCCTCAGATCCGGCGCCGAGTCAGCCGACCTGGGGCGCCACGGGGCGCCGCCACTGGTAAAAACTGCACACTCATCTGCCGCTTTGTAACAGGTAGAACACTAGTGGCGGCATTAGAGCGCGCCGGTGACTCACTTTATAACCCGGCAAGTGGTTTATGTGCCAGTGATGGTCGTCATTACGGACAGATTGGATCCGCGGACAGCCTGTCGAGGCAGGCAAATACCCCGATATTGCACCGCCGGACTGGCATGGAGGGCTGGCGGGAGGCCGCCACAGCTGCACGGGCCGTCCATGGGCGGACACAGCTCCAGTGCGCCACCAGGCTGGGCACGTCTGCAGCGGTCCGAGCCGGTGCCGGGCAGCTGGTCACAGCTGGCTCAAGGTCCGAAATAGCGGGCACAGGTAGAAAGTCGTCTGAGTCATCTTGCTCCAACGATCTGGTCCAGTAGGAGAGTGGCCGGCCTCGAGGTGCGCAGATGGAGCATGGAGTACACAGGACTCACCCTCCCAATTGAACGCGAGATACAAAATCCCACTATACAACGCCAGGATGTCGAACTGTTCGGCAAAGTCATGCATTAAAGACAACACAACAAAGAACGGAAGAACGACTCGGGAAATACGCCGGGTCACAACACAATGCATGAAAGAACCAACCACATTGATCCGTATTTAAAAAAGCTTAGATAAGACTTCTCCCGAAAGGTACCATAGAGATCTTCACTGATCATGCATGTATCATGCCATCACGTGCTCATCATGACGCGACGCAAATACAGCATCACCCAAAGCCTGTCAAACAATCGCTTTACAATGGGTGCTGTACAACAAAGTTAGACAGGTTGTGCCAGTAACAAGGTGCAGTGAGCCATAAATCTGTTCTAGACCGGTTCCCTGGATCGTCTGTTATATGGCTCACCTTGCAACACCGCGCGCCATCCCAATGCCAGCCAGGGTAAAAACACACCGTTCCACGACCGTCTATCCGATGTTCAATCTGGTTTACGTCCCGGGATCGGTCGCAAGGTATGCACTAAATTAGAATGACCACTGTATCACGTGGGAAGGACATCGGAAGATTGGCTATAAAGTTCAAACGTCTTTGCCATGCCGGGATGGCCCGGCCGGATCACTGTGCTTAAGCCTGACGATGGAGGTAGCCAAAGCCAAGATTAACCTTATACGCCACCGACAGCGCCTTTAAACAATATTAAATCCAGGTAAGCCAGCATGGGAGCGGCAGCCGGCTCTATCAACAAAGCTATACGGGATTTATGAAGCCATGGCGTTCCTTTTAGGGCCGGCGTCCAGGGCGAGTGAAAGGGTTTGTGTCCCGTTTGATGGCTTTACGCCATCTAATTGGGTATCGTGACCTGCCGGGCGCAGGGCTCTGTTCAAGCCGCCTCCACACGTGGCGGTGGTGGAGCGGTGACAACGCAGGTGGTGGAGCGGTGACAACGCACGAGTCTGCCCGCCCGGGCGCCGCTACTGCGCGGAAATGAAAGCCGTACACGACTGGCACAATATTGAGAAAGGAGAATTTGACAATTCAGGCATTCATATCGCACAATGATCTGGAAAACCTGTTGGTCAGAAAAATCAGATGAATAGCGGCGCTCCATTCGCAAAACAGATTCGTCTGATGTGCGTTTTCGGCCTTACCTATCAATACTAAAATTTACCCAGACACAGCTGAAAATGGCAAAACTGAGCCTGCTATGTTCTACGGCAAACTGCATTGTGAGCTCCACTCTCCTTGCCTTGAACTGGCTGGATGGATTATCTAAGCCGGCGCGGGACAAATCATTTAAAGGGTTACTGCGGCTATCAATCAAGTAGAATCACCAGCGCAGCAGTAAAGCCCTCGGCGTAAAGCTACAGAGAAAAGGCGCGTTTCTTGTCGAGAACCGTCCGCTTTTTCCTCCACGTGGACGTGATGAAGTGAAACAGTGTCTTTTTGCACTGCCTGACCTTTGAGCGTTGGACACTAGCACGTTATGGGTTTATGGAGCACGTTACTTAGCAGACCCCCCGTCGGTGACCACTTCAGATGGGTGATTTAACTCAGAAGATGAATGGACGTAGCTGGTCGAGGTGATGGACAATGACAAAGACGAGCCCGGTACGATGCTGGGGGGCAAGGCGCCGGGGGAGCGACAACGAATGTCAACGCTCTAGAACAGGCGGGCTCACTTACGCTTACACTTACGGGCGGGTAACACTTCGCACGCATGAGATGGAGAACAGCGGCACCAGTATGCTACCGGTGAGAAACAGTGTTGACGGCAAGCTTTTTTAGCAGCCTTTTTTCGATACGCCTAGAGGTGCGTGTAAATGTGATGAAATGTTTTACTACCGGAAATGTTCCCGACGTTACCCCACCCTTAAAGGCGAGCCAGCCCAGCAATCACTTTTTTTAGTTAAGTGAATAAAAAGATCGAACATATTCTCATGATTCATTTTGCATCCTTGTTTTGCCAAGTCTTTGTGCTTTACGTTTTGATAATTTAACAAAATGTTGGCCCTGACGTTGGCGCAGTGAGAGGCGGATATGTGCTTGTCTTTTAATTATGGCAGCAATTTAGTCACGAGAAATACAAACAAAGACAAACAGAAAAATTGGTAAAAGTTTAGCAGTGGCAGTTAAGGAGTGGTTTTAAGTTTATTGTCACTTGCAAACAGCCATTTTACGTTTGTTCTACGAAGACATAATTCAAAAGCTTGTCGGTATGCTCAATCCGCTTAAAATCTTCCAGGTGCCCAAACTCACAGCATATGCAACTGGCGTTATTGGACAGATGCAATTCCCGCGTTTGAAAGGGCAAAGACGGCGCGGCAAGCAATACGAACCGCTCGTTTTTCAGGTAGCCTTGCTCTTTATCTCCGTCATTAGCAGTCGGATGGCTCTGCAAGTCATTACCGCCCTCTGGGCTCCACATCGCGGTTGTTTTGAAGCTGTCAGACTTCTGTTGTGGCGCAGCGGCGTTCGGTCGGCGACGTGTAATTGATGGTGGGCAGGCGACGGAACACGGCCGTGTCAACGGGGTCAGCGTACATCGGGACGGCCCGACCCGGAATGTGGGTGGGCACAGAGGCGGGCTCGCGCCGTGCGGGGACGGCGGGTTCACAAACCGTGCAGAGACGGCAGGTCCGCAGAAGGTGGGGGGACGGCGAGTCCACAAACCGTGCGTGGACGACAGCAGACCGCACGGATACGGTAAGTCCGCAGACCGTAAGGAGATGGCGGGTCCGCAGACCGTGCGGGGATGGCGGGTCCGCAGACCGTACGGAGACGGCAGGTCTATAGATCGTACGGAGACGGCAGGTCTATGGACCGTACGGAGACGGTAAGTCCGCGGACCGTAAGGAGATGGCAGGTCTATAGACCGTACGGAGACGGCGGGTCTATGGACCGTGCGGAGACGGCAGGTCTATAGACCGTACGGAGACGGTAAGTCCGCAGACCGTAAAGAGATGGCAGGTCCACAGACCGTGCGGAGACGGCAGCAGATCGTGCGAAGAAGGCCGCTCAACAGACCATACGGAGACGGCAGCAGATCGTGCGGAGAAGGCGGTCTACAGACCGTACGGAGATGGAGGCCCGCCGACTGCATGGAGATGGACCGCTCACCATCCGTCGGAGAAGAGAGGCTCGTCCGCGACAGCCCAGCGGCGGCAGGGGGAGGGGAGGGGGGGGGGGGGCACGGCGGGCATCTCGAAGCGGATGACACATGCGGTGATGAACGGTCGCGGCTGGGACCTGTGACGTGACAGCGACCTATGGTAAGGATCAGCTGGACTACGCCGGCGCGCACTGCGACGCTGGGTGAGTCATCGCACGCTGCAAACTATCCCGCCGCCTGGACACGAAAACCTGACACGCCACTGACGGAGGCCTTTTCCGGTGAATTCAGTGTATGCAATCATCGGCAAAAGAAACGGTTACTCTGCCTGTTCGGCGCCGTTACTTGTCTGTCTGTCTGTTTGTCTGTCTGTTGACCAGAACCCCAGAACCAGGCGAAATTGATATTAACAACTGCACAGCTGATGTTCAGCTATCAAGCCGTTTTCCCCTCGAAACTTCTTTATCGTCAGCGGTAAATATCTTTCACGGAAAACGTGTATCTCAGTCCTCACTAGAGCTTCTTCTCGAACAATTGAAGCCTTTCCTTGGCGCCGCTCAGCAGCCGCAGCTCCCACACTGTTTTCGCCGACTCGGACGGGCGTCGACGCCAGTGACGTCGACGCCGGCGCCGAGGCCAGGGGACGGTCAGCTCGCCGCGGCTCGGGGCGAGCGCGAGAGGCTTCCGGCGGCTGGCCGTAGCCACACGCCGGAAGTCCGCCGGCGCCGCACGAGGTGAGGACGGCGCCCCGAAGGCGGCAGCTGCCCCGCATCGGCGCCGACGACCGTCGCCACCGACGTCCGTCAGCCGGCGCCGGGGCTCGCCGCTCGTCCGTGCTGTGGGCCGACATCACATGACATCGGCCCCGGGCTGCCTGCGCCCGGCAGCAGCTGCGCGCCCCCGCACGGTTCGTCTCCTGTGCACAGGTGCAGAGGCTGCGGCGGCGGCGGCGGCGGCGGCGGGCCCGGACCAGTTAGTGACCGCTCGCACCGCACCTGTCGGACCTGTCGCCGACATGTCGCCGCATGTTCCCGCGACCCCGCCGGCCCGCGCGCGGCTGAAGAACGCCGCAAGTTGGGCCACGGCTGCGGGAACGGCGGCCGAGTCGCCGGGCGGGGCCGGCCTGGCGACACGCCGGCGTTCACAGCTGGCTGGCGCGCTGACAGGCGGTGGGCGGACGCGCAACACACCCGAGGCGACCCAAGGGTCAACGGTGGTTGGATCCGGCTGTCTCGGCCAGGAACCACTCCAGGTGTACCCGTTTGAAGTTTTGTTCCTGACATCGCACTGGTATGATGCAAGAACTGTAAGCACGCCAGCCGGCTTGCCCTTAGCCGGGTTATCGTCGCTTATGTGACATGGCCTGACGTCCAGCCACCTGACCAACAGGACTGGTCAGCCGCTTACCTCGGTCCTGCATGAACTGGAACAGCCCGTCCAGGAACTCCTTCCGCATCGGGTTGTCATCGATCTCGTACAGCTGCCACGGAAATGAGACGGCATCAGCAACGGAAGCACACCAATCTCCAGACAACCAACACATCGTGTCATGAACCCGCGAAAGGTAGAGTGGCAAGCAGGTTTGATGATCACGCTGCCTGTGGGGGCCGCACACACTGTGTCAGACGTGAAGAGTCCGTTCCGACACCTGGCGAGAACAACGCAGAAATCCGTCTAGTAGCTCGAGTACAAATCACAAATCGAAATATGTTTCTCATGTAGATCCAGCAGTTCATTTATAGGAGGAATGTCTCATAGCAACGCAGGCGCTGTAACTCTTACAACGCACCGCGTAGCTGCCCCGGCACTGGACCGACCAATCAACCAACCAACCAACCAACCAACCAACCGACCAACCAACCTTTGTTCTGAACTGAGATGATCTATTTGTTTGTGAACATGCGCGCAAATGTACATATTGTGCTGCATGATCCATATACTTCCTTCGCGTCATATTAATCCTTGTCAAGTGAACAGCTTTGCCAGGCGCAAGTGGCTCCAGGCTACAAACGACATCTGGCTGAATATCTCCACAACTAAGTAATATAAGTTCCGTATAAGCCCACCGACGATAGCAAGGATGAGCCGGTACACCACCCGCACGGCGCCTGACTCATCTCATTATCACTCTCGGCATCGCAATGGCTTATCAGTTATCATCTATCACACCTCGGCCTGCCCAGTAATCGCCGCCGGTGATTGATCAAAGGAGTAGGGGAAGGGACTGAGAGAGAGAACCATCCGTCCGGCGCCGCTGCCCAACATCGAACTGTGGTCCAGATGATCCCGACGTAGCACAGCCGGCAAGTCGGCTGGTGCGGGCCGCTTAACACCGGATCATTTTCAGATGATCCCGACGTAGCACAGCCGGCAGGTCGGCTGGTGCGGGCCGCTCAATATCGGATCATTTTCAGATGATCCCGACGGAGCACAGCCAGCAGGTCGGATGGTGCGGGCTGCTCAATACCGGATCACGTTCAGATGATCCCGACAGAGCACAGCCGGCAGGTCGGCTGGTGCTGGCCGGTCAAGGACCGACCACCGCGTCACGGCTGGTCTGCGGCGCCCGCCACTCTCGCTCCGTGACCGCGGCCGAGAGGGTGGGGGGAGGGGAGGGGCCGCCGAGCGGCTGGGGTCGGCATCATTCGCCGCTGGAGACCGAGGATGTGTAGGGGATTCGTCACTGACGTACATGGGGTGTAATGGGCATTGCGTGAGAACAGTCACTAGAACCCACATAAAGCGGTGTAAAAGCATGTATGTAACCATGTGTGTAAAGGCATGTAAAAGCGGTGTATTTCGAAATCACTTTTTTCGGTTGCCGGAGAGCTTCTCAACCGAGACCCACGAAAACACATTTCTTTAGGCGTGTTTAAGCCTTTGCTCTGTCAGGTTTCACCCATATTTCCCTGCCGAGTGCGACCGTCCTAAGCTGTGGTGTTACCCTCTTGTTTGATGCGGTGCTCCGCGCTGGCATGAGGTGCACGGCAAGGCGAAGGGCATTTTTATGGCGGCTGGATCGAGAGACTGCAGCGGAGGGCATGAGGCGATCCCGGAGTTACAAAGCTCAGTCCGTCGCGTAACCAACTGTGGGGAGGCCAGTGCCTGACGCAAATAACAAGACGTCTAAAAAAATTGGACGAATTGCGCGTTAAACGGACGAGATAGTCACAAAAAATGGAAGGTATTGTTTATGCCCCCAGCCCTCGAAAGCCAAGGAAACATTGCGCTGGTTCCTGAGAGGCAGTAGCAACGTGCAACCATTACCAGTCACGCACGTAGGCATAATGCAGAACTATATTCTGTTCACCGTTTTCAGCTACGCTTATGTGGGTAGCGACTCGAAAATCAGACCCCAAACTGTGCAAGTCGTCAAAAATACAAAATTGCGTACAGGCACGCTTGCACCATATCTGTTACCGGTCATTGAGGCCACTTTTGCTCCACTATTTCCATGTTATCAGACATATCGCTTGAAAGTCATGGCTTTAAAGGCAAGGCTATAAGCCACTCCGATCGTTGATTCACAAAACAAGACCATAACTTAAGCCGGTAAGTCGTGTTGCAAACACTCCGTGCATACTTCCTCGTTCCTCGCCTTTAAAAAGACGGAATTTTCGTCCATGGTTTCATTACCATCACACGGCCACACGCCTCTCCGCCCAGATATGACAGGGGTCACCAGATCGCAGCGCCGGGCCGCCGCCGCCGCCGCCGCGTAGCTCGGGAGGAGGCGTCCGCGCGGCGGCAGTCCCGGCGCGCCACGGTCGATTGTGGCGCGCTATTACGGCCCGTGAGATCGGCCCACCTGAGAGCGGCTAACGACCGTCGGCGCCGGCGCGGCATCCGGCTTAACGACATCGACGTCCGCCTGATGGCCGCTTAGGAGATGCATGGCGCCATCCGAGCGGTCAGCGGGGGGCGGCGGTCAGGTGGGCGGGGGTCACGGGCGGCAGAGCTCTCAGAAGCCGGCGCTCCTCAACAGCGCGCGACCAACCGCTGGTGCGCGATGTCGTCCGGTCATCGCAGCCGGAAGCATTTCACCCCTTCGGTGCGCGCTAGCCGACACTGCAGCCGATCACTGTCCAGCAGCCGCGATCGGGGGTCACGGGCGCATCACACGCCAAGGCGCGCTCCCCTGCCGAGCCCCTCGACAGGCTGGAGCCTTGACGCGCCGGGCTCAGCCCCTCCGCCGTCCAGCGCCGCCGCCGCGGCCACTGCACCGCCCGGATCCCGTTTGATCTGGAGGTGTTTTCCCGCGTGCGCAGGGCGGTGGCGGCCACTTGACGCTGCCGGGACGAATGTCGGATGGCGTCGGCACTACAGGCGTCCGGCGCGGGACGCTGAGGACTTTGTTGTGGCGCGCGGGCAGCGCGGATCGGGGCAGCCGCCGACCCCTGTACTCCCCCAGCCATAATGAATCCTCATTGTCAGAACAAGCGGGCCATTCTTGTCAAATCCTACAGCGGTTCTACGTCACTTGTTCTTGTAAACAGCCCGGCAGAAATGAGCCACCGGAAAATATGACGAAAATGGCGGTGATAGTGATTCGAACAAATTACACGCGCTCTTGACGTGACTCTGGGTGTTCGTCACTTGCACCCGTCTGTATAAGCTCAGACGCCTCGGGTCGTCGAGCGGCAGTTCAATGAGCGGCTGACGGCGTGCGGAGGTCTGACAACGGGAGAATGCCCGCCCATACCGCCTCTCCCTGCCCGGCGCAAGACAATCGAGCCCACGGCAGCCGACTCGGCCGTTCGTAAACAAAGCCGGTACGGGATGTGATTGAGTGCATCGTCACAAGGCTATTCCGAGCGTAAGGCTCGCGCGCGGGAGACGGGGGTCAGCGTCGGGGGCGCGCCGGCCGGGTCATGGCCCGGGAGAGAGAGGGGCGCGGCTCAGGAGCCGGTCGTGAGGGACTACAAACCAGCTGGGCTGTTGAAGCCCCGGCGACAATAACGAACTGGAGGAGGGCCCACGCCGCGATACGTCACGGGCGTGAACCCACGCGCGACCGTCATGCATTTAACTACCGTAGAGTGGAAATATACGGCAACGAGGTGGTTAGTCACTGGTTTTAAAGGCGCGTGGATTGCAGTGGTCATTTGCGCCCATACAGCATCGAACTATGGGGGATAGGGAAGGAGGAAACTGGAACACTGCGGGCATGAATGAGGACAGGGAGAACGATAGAAGGAAGAAGAGAAAGGAGAGGAGTGGAAAGGAAAGGAAGACAGGCTGAAACAATAGAGGAAATTCGAAGAAATATGCGGCATGAAGGGGGATGGAAGATAAGATAGGCTTGGAACGCAGATTACACAGAAGAGATGGACAGTTCCGGAGGGGGCAAAGGTCAAAAGAGAGGAGGCAAAGGAAGCAGGAACGTCCAATCACTCACATATTTACCGTGCCAGACACGCAAGTTGGCTACTGCCAGGCACACACGATGGAGCAGGCATGCAATGATTGAGCAGACGCAAGAAACAGGCAAACAAACGCCAGACAGAGCGTCCTTATCAGCGATCGCCGTGCGGCCGCGTCTCAAGAAATGGACTCGTCTGTCGGCCGTGGGGCGCCTCGCCTGTCGGCCCCGGTACCCAGAACGCGCAGATAAGGCCGCCACCGGCAGCCGTCGAATCCATCGTCGGCGCCGTCGAGACGTGCCGCAGTCTGACAAAGGAACCGTTCTCGTCGGCCATCGCGGCACATCGCGCCAGTAAATGTCGGCGAATTCATCACCACTATTTCGAGCGGCCTGAAATACCGGGCCGGGCGCGCGCGGCCGCCCCGATCTTGGCACAACAATGCCGTAGCATGGGTGGATTTCTGGCACGGCCTCGGCCCAGCGGCCGACTGGGCCACGGCCTCAGGTTTCACCGGCCGGCGGGGTCAGCACCGCCGGCACCGCCGGCGCCGCCGGCCATGTTCGAAAATACGGAAAAATCTAGCTGCTCCGGTGACAGTGGATTACCAATGCGGGAACGGTTTAAATAACGCAACGCACGAGTCAGAGGTAACTAGGTTCTCGGGCGGATTTTTCAACGCATTCAGGGTACAGATATTAACCCACTCCGCTCCAGATTATTTTATCGCTAAGTTTGTCCATGGAGACCTAAACCAACACCTCTGTGAGATCTCAGAAGGCATTTGTCGTAGAAACTTGGGAGCGGACTTGAACGATTCATTAATCGCTTAAGCTCACTCTCCTATTTGGTCTTAAAGTGTACGTATTACGTGCTTAAATTGACACAATTTGTCACGGACGTAGTCAGTGGGGTGATGTTGGATAAATTGAATATGTGCCTCGTCATGTGTTTCCCAAATTCACCGGTCCAAGTTTTTAAATCCAAGCTTGTACACGTCTTATATGTGGTTCTATATGCATCACTGGATAAATACAGCATTTATTATCACGGAAAATCTTGATAAATTTGCGCTAAAGGTCCAAATAAGGCACCAATAATTAGAGGTATCTATTCAAGCGAACGTGCAAGCAATGACTCGAAATGCGTCTTCTTTCTCCATAGTTCATAAATCTTACCAGATGATCATCATCTCCCCGCTTTGCCTCCCTCGAAACGACCGACATTGTAAACATAACGAGAATAAAAAACGAAACATGGAGCGCATCAAACCATAAGTAATCAAACTATATGCTCACGACCCTATGCTACATATCACACAAATGCAGTTCAAAAAATTTTCCGGGGTCCGAAGCCCACCCCCTCTCGGATGAGGAAAATGATTAAAATCCCAGCTGAGCAGGAAAAGCAGCACTTCATTCGTTTAGGCTCACGATTTGTCCGAAGAAAATTCTTAACGCTAACACGACGGAAGCAAGGACGTCAAAAAGTGTGTGTCTACGTTCGTTCTCTTCTCCCGCTTGCTCGGACCGGCTGAATCATAACCTCGGCTTGGGATATCAATCATTTACCGACGATTGGCTTCCGCCCGTGGCGCCATCATTTCATCACGACTGATCGGGCCGGGCCCGGGAAAACATAAGCACCGATCTGGCGTAAATGAACGATAACTAGAAACGACAAGTGATTGTGATTTATCCTCGTCTGCCAGACGAAGCACATGCCGGCAGGCAGGAAGTCCCCCAGTCCCCCCCCCCCTCCCCCCCACAGCCTTCTGAGGGCCCCAGCCGGCGCAAGAGACGCCCGATCGTCGGACAGACGCCGCCGACGCCGCTCCCGACGCCAGCCAGCGGCGTATCCGGAGGCCCGGCTTATGGCGGCATAGATCACGTGTCGGCCCATTTGGCCGGCTGTTTATACGGCGTGGATTGGACATGACGAATGTGGCGATCCCCTGCGCCGGATCGTCGCCACCCTCTCCCCCGGGCGGGACGTCACGCCGATGGATGGGCCCCAGACGGTCCCGGTCCCGGCCCCCGCAGGCGGGGTCGGCCGGGGCCGGGGCCTCCTGAGCAGCCAGCCGCCCAGCGGCGCGCTACACGCGTCGTGGGCGACGGCTGAACTCACGCCGAATGGTGGCCACGCTCTCGGTTATTGCCAGACTGATAATGGACTGGACTGTGCTCAGATCAGCCTCGAGGCCTTGTCAGTGGATTTTGATCTACTGATATCAGAATGGGACACTTGTTCGCCAATCGGTCGTGAGCATGACAATTGGTAGAAAGCATTGGTGTGAGCATCAAATTTCGCGTGAGCCCATTACGTGTGCCATCACTAAACAGTGAAAAAATGCCTGTAAACTGAGCTCAGGCGACACTTCGGTGACAGTCTTAGGTTAACTTGATGGCCCGAGGTCATGACACTATCTCCACAGGTTGGGCGGAGGGGCGGGCAGAAAATGTTAAAACCTTAGCACACCAGGCTCTGGTTCCAATTGCAGCGCAAATAGCCTGCCTTAGGAGAAAATGGGTCAGAAAGGAAGAAAATGACGAAATAATGGAAGGGAGAAAGAGGAAGAAAGAGAGAGAGAGAGAGAGAGGGGGGGGAGACAGAATAAATACAACGTGAAAAGAGGAAGAGGGAGGAAAGATTGCAGGAGAGAGGAGAACAGAAGGTGTCGAAAGAAATCGAGAAAAATGGGAAAGGGACGAAAGGAGGAAGAGAAAACGAGAAGGCAAAGGGTGACAAAAAAGGGCCTATGACATATTGGTGCCTTGGTGTCGTGCCATGACATCCTGTCAGCCAAAATGTGACAAAACTGGAGCTAATTTGGGTCGATGCACGGTTATTAGCAGCCACCGAGTCGCTTCCCTTATCGCCCGGTATCTCATCCAAGACTTTCAACAACAACGTCGTTCACTTGATCGTGGCTCGCGTTACTGGGGCATCTCTCCGCTGGCTGCTTAACTCGACCGCGAAACCCGAGAGCACATCCACCTCCGAAATGAGTGCAAAAACCGGGCGACAACACATGGCCGAGTCTTGATATCAAACGCGGTGGGTCGGTGGGTGGAGTTTTTGTGTCGGCTAGCCGGGCACGCCAGCCGGGGACCACATGTGCCGCGTCAGCGAGACCCGCCTGCCGGCCGCGCCGGCGCATGTAAAAACACAATTGATGGCGATTTTATTTCCGGACCATATGTGCGAGAATTAAACCCGTCCACCATGTGTGCGCGGACGGGAGAGGGCTGACTTATCGGGGGTGTTGTGTTTCTGTATCAACACCAGGGGCAGTGTGTCCGCCACAAAGGCCCCCATTATGTGTCACTCAAGAGGCCGACGAGGGACACCGTCGGGCGGGTCGGGGGCGCGTCTTGCCAGGGCAGCTGTGCGAGCCAGGCGACCCTGGCGAGTGGTTGTCGGCACGTGCCCACCCGTCCCGCCTTCTGTCAAAGACAGCGCCGCTCGGGCTTGATGTGCATACGCTTACGATGTTGAACTGGTCAGGGCTTCTGAGAACTGGGTCTGGTGCAAGCTCGATGGCTCGCTTTTGCAAACGCTATAAGGCTAAGTTACTTCTACGCAGGCGGGCAGGTATGGAAACCATGGCTCCCTCCCATGTTTTACCCACTATCTTAAATTAATGTGCGTTGGGTACGCTCTTCAGCGCAACCGCCAATAAACCGAAGAGATTAAAAGCCGCGGCTGATACCGGAGGGACATGATGCGCGGCTGGTATCCTAATGGTCCGGGTCTGACGCCGGAGGTAGCGACAGTGGTGTCGCTTGACATCTGTGTGGGACATTGGCCATCCAATGCCTTTTCCCGTCCCTCAACGCGGACCGAATTGACTAAGAACTCGGCAAAAAATACTGCATTGGCCAATGTTGCCCTCCCCGCCGCCCCCAGAATGACTTACATATAAGATTATAGAGACCGGTCTGTCTAGCCACAGCATGCACCTGTGGAGGGGTGGGCTGGCACTGGCCGGAGACGGTCCAGCAATCAGACTTCCCAGAGACGGCTACGCCGCCCACGGCGTCGCGCGGCCCACTCATGGAGTGCCAGCGGTCACAATCGTCCCGTGAGCGCGCCGAGAGACGTCAGCCTGGAATCTACAGAGAGCCTCCACAGGGCCTCCACAGGGCCTCCACAGGGCCTCCTATGCCAACGTTCAGCACCCTTCCAATCGAGCCATTTCGCTCGCCAGAGTGCCAAACGGGCGCGGGACCACCGTCGCACAGTATTGCATGACATAAGAAGCTAAACATCCATTATCCTGGCCGTCAAAAAGACCAGAGGCAAAATTTCTTGTCGAAATGGAGTAGAACAACACCTCGGTGGTGAGTTCACGCCACAGTTCGCAAACGCTAATTGACACATAATGTGGACACATGGACACCAATGCATCACATACACATGTGCCAACAAAACCTCAAAAAAATGCGTTCGACACTGGTTACGCGTAGTTGGGCAGCTAAACAAAACAAAGATACCTGAACTATTATTTTCACTCGGGAATACGATGAAATAAACCACACCCCTTGTTACATAGCAATGGATGTCTTTAGAACCCTACATTTCTTCATGTTAAGTATAATGCCAAGAAAATTATGACGGACAAGGTTAAAATTCAAAATTTCCAAGCATTTAGGCTGCGTGTGCGAAATTCTCAAGGCCATGCATGCAAAAATTAACCTCAACATCGGTACTGCCCATCCCCTCCCCCAATATCTGGACCGCTACTTCGCCTATGCATTACGATGCATGACAAAAGACCGGTAGTGGAGCGACCAACAATTTCAACCGTCGGCTGCTGCGCAGTTATACCCTCACATACCTTCAGAATAATCTACGTTCAAGAAACAGACATATCTGTCCACTGTTCAGCCCCGTCTCGGGTGTCTGCACGGCGTGAGCTGAACGCTCCCCTCACCCGCAGCCGGTCAGACCCAGCCGCGCTGGCTCGTACAAAGAGCGGTTAAAATAATCAATGATTGCGCCACGCAAACCGCCAGCACCGTCGCCGCCTCGCGCCCTTTCATCTGTCGGCAATAAACCGATCAGGCAGGTCTCGGGAGAGAGCGGGAAGGCGACGGCGACTCTGAGAAGGCGACGGCAGCGTGCGCTCGATCGCGTACATATGGCCGCCCCGCGGCCGGTCATATGGCAGCCTAGGGGGGAGGCGGGCCGGACGTGCACGCGGCCGGGCGCGTGCAGACCCGCCGGCGGCCCGGTGTTCCGGTCAGCCCTGCACGCCGGCGGCCGGCCCGGCGCCAGCGCACGTTCCTGGTACTGAGCCCTCCGCCCGACGGCACGCATGGCGCCAGCCCAGTTGCGTGATGTCTCAATGCCAGCCGACTTTGATCAGTGCAAATGTGCGCCCCGGAGGACGTGCAGTGGAGTGCAGGAGGGGCAAAAAATGAAAGACCAGACGCAGGTTGTTAATGCATCCTGGTTTGCCAGCAAATCAGCAGTGCACACAGGGAAGTAATACTGTTAACTTTTAAGGCTGCATAAGGACACCTGCTCTTGCAGGAACGGAGCGGAGAGCTACGAAGCCAGGGAGACAACGTGGTGGATAATGCACAGGTCGGTGATGTCCAGCATGCATAAACGACCCCATTAAACAGGATCGGCCATCATATCATTGCAGTGTCTTGCGAGTCTGTTGGTTATCATTCAGACCCGGGCATTGACGTAGAGCACAGCCACTGACCTGTTTGAACTGTTCCTCGTAGTTCCAGGAGGCGTGATTGGCGCTGCCCTGGCGGGGCGACTGTGCCGCTGAGTTGACCGGCGGGCTGACCGTGTCACGGGCCGGCGGCGAGCTGCTGGCCCGGCCGCCAGACCCGCCGTACCCGGCCAGACCCAGGCCGGGCAGCGGCACCAGCGACGGCGGGTTGTGCGCCATGGAGGCGGCCAGCAGCGACTGCGGCGACAGCGGGTGCCGCTGGAACGCCTCGGCCGCCGCCCGAGCCTGCGCCGACTCCGGAGTACGGTAGTCCGGCGGCTCGGCGTCGCCGCTCAGCTGTGGGCGGGGGTCCCGGTTACTTGGGTGTAAGCACTGGGGGCCGGGTCGAGTTGTACACAGCGCTCCTCTCAAATTGGGCTTTTGTCTCCTTGGCATTGGTGACATAGCGTAAGTGTTCTCCTCATTTCACTAATCTCTGTTAAAGCACAATGTCGGCTCTGGTCATATTGCTCTCTTCCTCTCTCCGGAACATGATTTATGTCCCTCCTCCCTTCTAATCTCTGGAGCTCCGAACATATTAATCTCCCCCAGTTTGATAAAGTTTAACTGACGCACATGAACTTTCGCGATCATTTTGAACCAGCTGTTACCTTGCCGCGCCTGTCACCAGTGACGTCAGAGCGCCTGTCACCAGTGACGTCAGAGCGCATGTCGCCAGTGACGTCGGCCACCTGCTGCTTCAGTTTGTCGAGCACGCTCTGGCTGGGTGTGGACCTGTCGCTGGCCTCCATGTCCGGCTCCGACTCGGCGCGGGGGGAGTGCGTCCGGGAGGGTCCTGACCCGGGGTCGGGCGACGCAGCCTGCCGACGAGGAGCCGACATCACGCCCGTGCCAACTGCCGGCAGTCGTTCCGTCGCAGACGCAGAAGGTGACTCTGACGAGAGCTCCCTAGCTTTGGGAGATTAGAATAACCTCGCTGAATAACAGTTTTATGCGGATTTGATGGTTTGATGTTTCAGTTTATGCATACACCAATGGCGCCCAGGCCTGGGCCGCCGCAGCCAGCTGTCCGATCCCGTGGTCTGGAGTGACGTCACACTCCAGGCGTCCGACAGGCTCCGTCGGGGACCAGCCGGCTGAGATTACAGGAAAATTCGGGTGTCGGTCGCTCAGCATCGCCGCCTATCACAGTCGCGTGGGCCGGGGGGCGGCCCGCACGAGCCCAGATAACAGGCCGCTGGCTTACAGCGCGTGCCCTGAGTGGGCAAGGGTCGAAACTATTTGTCATGTGTGAAGACGGAGTCGAATCAGTTAGCGGCAAATTATCTTGGCTTTTTTACGAACAGGGCTGTTGGGGCTGCGCAGTGGCATGGCCTGCATACATCTGCGTTGTATCGAAGGCTGCGCTGTGCCGCTTCAATAAGCCAATCAAGCCATTTGTGGCCTGCGGCTCGGAAGAAGGCGGCGCGCGGCCACGCCAGTGATCTGGAGAGGCCCCACGCGATCGCCGCCTCAGCAGGTGCCCGCGCTCCGCCGGGCGACAGGGCAGGCGGCGTCCGCTCCCCGCTCTGTCGCAGCACAGAATGAGACGGGCTGCTTTCACCGGCTCCGTGCCGACTGGGAGACAGGCAGTCGCGTCTGCCGCCTCGCGGCCAGCCCGGCGCACAAACCCCGGCGCACAGGCGCGCCGGAGTCTGCCGCCGCGCGGCCAGTCCGGCGCACAGACCCCGGCGCACAGGCGCACCGGAGTCAGCCGCCGCGGGCCGACGCGTCAGTCACCCATTGTCGGCGGATTTCCATCGGCATCTTATCTGACGCGGCATCGTGTCAGGCGGCGGCGATCACGCCCTGGCGCTGATTGGCCGGCGTAGGTGTCGCCGTGGCAACCCGCGCTGCTGCCTGTAAACAGCCGGCGACTGAGGGCCACCTGTTGGCGTGTGCGGACGTGCGCCGCTGAAGGCTCCAGGTGGGCCGGGTGCTTCATGATCGGCCGTCACCTGGTCCGATCGCCGTGAGTTCTCTCGGTCTCGGAAGGCAGACATACGACGCTGTGCCGGGCTCGTGTGCACCCAGTCGAGCTTTCAGTGCCATCGCCGCGCAATAGCTTGAAGCAGAGGCTGTCTTCCCCACGCACGACAATTCACCAGGCGAAAAACACAATTTTCCATAAATATATCTGGCTTTCATTGGCATCTTTAGCGTTGAATTCTCTATAGTACACCACCGTGCTCCCAAGGACTGGCCTCGAAGCGCATCAAGGATCGTTCAGAGATCACCCCGAATGCCGTCCGCCATTATCGCCCGCACCTCATTCCCACCAGTTCCAGCAGTAAGCGCACACCGATGAAGCAAGCCGGCTGCGAGCCTGCGCTGCCGATCCGGGTATTCTGCGCCGGCGCTGCGGCGTGGTTCGGCTCTCCGAGCCCGGCCAGTGGAGCGCGCCGCAGCACGGCTCCAGCCCGAATAGCGCGCGAGCGTGACACCAGATATGAAAATATCCGAGCCGATGTGGCGCCGACCGTGTTTATAAGATGGACGACGGAGGTGCGACGCTCGGAAGAGCGCGGCATTAGCATATGGAGGGCGGAGGAGCCAAACGAATTTCTGCCCGGCCGCTGTGGTACGTGGGAGACCCGTCGCGACCGAGCTGGCCGTCCCGGCCCGGAAGCCTCCATGGCGCGCGAGCAGCAGGCACTTCCGCCCGAGTCGCGAGTCGTAGCCGGCTTTACGGACGGAAAAGGACTGCCGTGACGCGGCAGCGCGAGCAGCATCTGCCTCGCAGAACGATTCTTCCCCGCGGTCAGTGGCAACTCCGGGTCTAGAGGTGAGCTATCTCGTGAAAAGCCCCGCCACGAGCTGAGTGGCGGCGCCGGCATCACCCCACCCGCATTTACCTTGGATGCAGGCCACAGAAATCGGCGCCGATCGGCGACGCTTCTGGCGCCGGGCCGTGATCGATCGCCGCCCGCGCCTGGGCCCGGGCCCTCCCCCTCCCCCTCCAAACAAGGCCCGCCGGGGCGCCGGGCACCGGTCCCCTCCCGCCGGGCGGCGCCCCACTCGCGCCGGCCGCCGCCCCACCCCGGGGCGCACGCTATTCTCGGCCTCGGGTATTTATATCAGCCGATCGGCGCGCGCGCTGCTGAGATCGGACTTCTGGAGGTCGGCTGGAGCTGCGGCTGGCACCGCTGAGACCGGGGCTCTGGAGGCCGGCTGGAGCTGCGGCCGGCAACCGCTGAGGTCGGGGACTCTGGAGGAGGCTGGAGCTGCGGTGGCACCGCTGAGATCGGAACTCTAGAGGCGGCTGGAGCTGCGGCCGGCACAGCTGAGGTCGGGGCTCTAGAGGTCGGATGGCACCTGCGGCCGGCACCGCTGAGACCGGGGCTCTGGAGGCCGGGAGCTGCGGCGGCACCGCTGAGATCGGAACTCTAGAGGTCGGCTGGAGCTGCGGCCGGCACCGCTGAGGTCGGGGCTCTAGAGGACGGCTGGAGCTGCGGCCGGCACCGCTGAGATCGCAACTCTAGAGGTCGGCTGGTGATTCGGCGGACACCGCTGAGATCGTGGGCCTCTGGAGGATGGCTGGACGTAGGCTCCGTCTTGGAGCGGACCTCCAAGCGGGCGGTCGCACGCTTCGACCTCCTGATGGTTGCTTGGTCCGGGTGCGGTGCTCAAAGCTGGTGTTTTTCCCATTCGACGGTGCATATACCGTTTGTGGTGTTCTCGAACGCCACGAATATCGACGGCACCCACATGTTTTCCATCACATGTGGAATTTGATCCCACACTTCAGCATTATCTTGCAGCATCCTAAACAGGATCTTTGACCAAAACATGCGCAGTTGAAAGCCTGGTTTCGACCGGGCAGCGCACAGCGCACATTACTCTCTGCGTCGTCATCAGCAGCAGCACCGGCATCCTCATCAATATCATCATCTGCATCATGAACATCATCATCTCCATCATCATCTTCATCATCATCTTCAGCATTTACATCTGCAGCGTGCAGCGTCGTCAGCTCGCGGCTGGCGTGCCAGCACCGGACACGTCCCGGTCCGGTGACGGGGCGGGCGGGACGTCAGCGGGCACCCGGCCCGGCCGATCGACCACACCGTCAGCCGCCCTTTGATTCGGCCGGAACGGCCGCGCCAGCGCTGACGTGAGCATAAAATTCCGTCAGATGGCATGACAGATGAGGCGGGCGGAAAATTGTGTCAGATGGCGTGACAGGGCCGCCGGAGCCACGTGGGCCGGCGATATATACAGCGATTCTGCGGATGCCTCGCCAGCCGAGAGTTGGCAGCGCTGAGTGACTAGGGCCGCCCCGCTCGGTGTGGGCGCTCGATTACAGGACAGGTCCAATGTGGCAATCGAAGGACGACGCAGCTCGACCTCGACCACTGCAGTGTGCTGGCTGTCCCCAATTACCTGTTACTTTAAGCGATCCGTTTGCAAGTATGGGCAGGCGCAAACTCCCACACATTTTCATGTATGACACAATTCCGGGAACTTTTCGTCACCTTTTGTGTTCTTTCCACCAGCTTAACACCATCATCCAGATTCATCATCAAACCGCAACGGCCTAGAACACCTGATTTGGTTCAATCATATTAGTTTGAGATATATTTGCCCTTGTTTTTCGTAGACTAACGATACATCAAAACGTTTTTTTTGTGGGTCGATGATACGTCAAGTTAGAGAATACTCTTGATTCGTATTACGCCGATACGCGTTGCTGTTTGTGGATGATTATTTACCGCACAATGTTAAGTATTTTTCGGGGCAAACTGGTTGTCTCAAAATACAATGCAGCATGGCGCGACCGAGTGAGCAGCCGCCGATTTGCGGCGAGTAAAGCTGGACTGTATTTATTGTTGGGGACGCAGTCCTGGGCAACAAACGTCTTTGTCAAAATCCACACACGTTTTCGGCCACTATTGCGTTAAATTATGGATGATTTATTGGAGCGAGACAAGCGCATAGCTTTTGAATGCACCCCATGCAAACGAGACGATAAAAAGGCGGACACATCACGAACCTAGTGCCGGTATATTTATATGAAAATGCGCCGTTGATGGGTCTTTCAGCGGCTGCTTTGTGGGTTTTAGGGTGAAGAGGGGATTAAAAGCTGTATCACAGCAGCATCTGGGGCAGGGCGAGGATATATGAATGGATCAGGCGGCACCAGGTGCGCTTTATTATGTGCGAGTCGGTTAAAGATTTACTAACCAGGTGTTAAGGAATGTATTGGATCGCCTAATTTTAATTCTCGTGGATGCATGGTGCCTGTCAGCCAAGTTTTCACACGTGAAGGGAAACCAAGGAAGAGCGCAGACCTGAAATAGTTAAAAATCTACCCTAAAAAATAGGAAATTGGGGAGCCATCAACCGGCGAGCACGTTTACATCAGCACACCACTGTTGGGCTGTAGGGACCTTTGAGTGTGCTTTGTCACCATTACGGGGCTATTTCCTAACGAGGTTCATCTCAAATGAAGAACAACAACGTGTTACGGTACATGGCGCAACACAACTGCCGATGCCTCTCCCGAACTCCCTGGCGTTTGGACGGGTCCGCGCCTCTCGCAGCGCTCCTGGCGATCATGTGCGGGGCGTTTGTAAGCGTGCACCGCACTTCGAAAGGATAGGCCGAAAACACGAAAAATACAAAATTTAATGCCACGTACCTCGTCCTCGACATGTTGCTGGTGTTGGTGCTGGTGTTGCTGCTGCTGCTGTTGCTGGATGAGCTGACGGTAGTGGGCTGCTGCCCCCCACGCCGGCCCACTGATGCTGCTGATCTGAAACACAGAGTCCAGCCCGTCATGTAACCACTTCGTCCTCTGTCGTTGATCTGAGGCACCGTGCGAGTCCAGGAGTTCGGAGTCGGTGACGCCGGTCACCTCTGTTCCCACCGTTGATCTGAGACACCGCGCGGGTCCAGGAGTTAGGAGTCGGTGACGCCGGTCACCTCTGTTCCCACCGCTGATCTGAGACACCGTGCGGGTCCAGGAGTTCGGAGTCGGTGACGCCGGTCACCTCTGTTCCCACCGCTGATCTGAGACACCGCGCGGGTCCAGGAGTTAGGAGTCGGTGACGCCGGTCACCTCTGTTCCCACCGCTGATCGGAGACACCGTGCGGGTCCAGGAGTTCGGAGTCGGTGACGTCGGGCACCGCTATTCCCACACAAAGGTGGAGGTGCCGGACCGCGGGACCTCGTCGGAATGTCGCGGGGCGGGCGCAGCGCGGTTCGTGGCCGATATGCGGCATCTCCGTATAAAACAAGGGATAATTGTCGGCCCCTGCGCCGCCCAGCCCCGTCTCATTGACAATTGAATGGGAAAGGACCAGATTTATGCTTCGCAGGCCGTAATCACTCGCTATCAATCGAAGGACGCGAGTTCCACGGCTCCAATAATGGTCCTATTCCCGTTGTTACCGTACCAGAGACGAACGTAGAAAAAGTGGGATAAGGACCCGCAGTGGACGGTGAATTATATGCCAGGTCTCTTGTCCGAAAATGGCGTCGGTGACCAGGATTGGACACCGCTGGACGTCCTGGAAATTCCGCCCTCGAAATGGCACAATGCTGCCTGCGCACAACTGCACACCAGTTATGTCAGCGACGGTCAAACAATTCCAGGTCAACTTATTACAAAAATTAAGCAAAGCATCATCCCCTCCTTGCTTTAGGCGCCCCAACCACTTTCCGCTAACCCTACCCCTTGAAGTTCTAGCTCCTATCTACTCCCAGTCATACCCAAAACCTTAAACGATGTTCTCATTGCAATAGCTTACTTTTTCAATGCTTCTCATAGCTTGGGCCCTGTGAGGCGCGCTGCTCAATAAAATTATGCTATGGCCAAAACGAAACCATTTCCACCACAAAAAAAATGTTTTGAAGGGCATGTGGCAGTGGATATCTGGTTAAGGTTGGCAGTAAAAAGGTTGACCTTTGAAAGCCGAATCACGCAGGCTCCTTCGGCACGCGGACGCCACCTGTGTCTGTGTTGTAATGTTTGACAGCCGGTCGCAGAGCTGACGGAAAGCCGCGGAATAGGGGCAAGGTTCGATTCGTTGGGCGACGCTCCACAGACATGAAAACACACAGACGACATATACGCATATTGGAAGAGACACAAATTTGCTCCCCATAGTTCACAATGCGTCTAATGCCACGGATCTCATGACTAGCCATCACAAAATAATCAATTTGTTGACCGAACTGAGCACGCATGATAGCATTGAAGGCTATTTCTGAAGCACGAGCGACCGCAGTGAGTACGGGATCATAATCTGACGGGAAATGTGAGAAAGGCTAGCCCATCCGGCGGGTCCGAAGACAATGCCGGCGCGGCGGCGATGACGGCGCAGCGCCGGGCGTCACCTGCCTTAGGGGGGCAAATCCCTGATCCGAGCCCAGACCCCGAATAGGTGGACGAGCAAAACAAACGCGCCAAATCCGCTAACCTAATTACGGACATCGACGCTTGCCTTTCCGGTCCCTATTGGAAACGCCACCCCACCGGTCATTAAGGCTATTTTTCCCGATTATAAATCAGACGGACGGCAAATACCGGGCTACCACGGTGACCATTTGGGGTGATTAAATTAAAGATGGCGGCGCAGCGCTGGCGGGCAGCAGCCGGCGCCGCTCGGCCAGTCAGCTGATTACGGCGGCCGAACCAAAGGATTGCATCTGGTCCCGGCGTAAGGTGGAGCGCGTGCCCATCGGCCGAAGCACGCTGGAGCGCACCCCGTTACCCATGGCAGCAGTGGTCGGCTAATGATTCCCTCTCCGGGTGCATCCGTCAGTTATGCCACACAATATCTAAACCGGCATTGGTAAGTTGTGCACAAGGTGAAGTTTCGTATTAGGTTGGGAGATGGCGCTTTAACCTCCCCTACCTACCCCACCCCAAATTTGAGAAGGAGTGCGTCAAATTTAGAGAAGTCCGTTTGCCGGCGTATTTTGGCGGTAGGTTTTGCCTTTTTCGCTGCTAAATCTTTCCTCCTCCCACTCCCACCCTTCAACTCAATCTGCGAAACCATGTCCCTGGTCGTGGGGATAAAGAAGATCGGCACCAACAAGCCGACTGATGGTCAGGGTTTGCCTGCTGAAGCTGGACGCCTGACCCACGCATCAAGCCGGTCTCGATTTCCGTTCCCACACTGTCTGGCCCGACGCACCGTTCCATGCCTGTCATCGAATGAATTATACTCCTGCCAATCAATCGCCTTTCCTGCCTTTCCACCTTCTGTCCCGTCACTCCTCCCTTTTACGGCATTCCGACAGGTCGTGCCCAGCTTAAGTGTCGATAGGTATTGGCCGCAGGCACTACACACACACACACCTCCTGATAGTCATGTACGCACACGTGTGCATAATATCCCTTTTAGTGTTGTGTGTGGTGCATACCCGCACATCGCAAACGTGCGCCTTTTCAAATGACGGGGTACTCAGAAGTTTACCGCCCCGCGCACGAGTCGAAAACGCAGGCACCATTCCAACCGCCCGCTAGAACCAGTCGCCCTCAGCTCACCAAACGAACGCAGCTCGGTGGTGCAGCACCGGTCCCCAGATAGGCACGACGGTGGATCCAGGACTCCACGCCGTCCGTGCTCCGCCCCCTTCCCTGCAGCGGCTTAATGAACCGCCATGCTGATGATAACATTCGTTCCAATCGACAAAAATCAGACGTGACGTGGTACCCAGTATGACAGCACCGTGCCTCCCCGCTCTGACCGCCTGGCCACGGCCCGGCTGCCTTCCGGCAGTGCACGCGGACGCGGCGCATCCGTGGACAGCACCACAGGTACCGCGCCGGCTCGACTCTAGCCCGCCCCAGCGCCGGAGCCCGTCACCAAAGCCGAGTCGCTCCGACCAGTCCCGGGATCGGTGCCGCGGTCGGCCGCGCGGTGGGCGGTGTGCGGGGCCCGGCGCAGGCGCCGGCAGCCACCCAGGGTGTCGCCGTGCAGGACGCAGTGACGAGGGCACAGTCACGCGCGCGCACACACGCACACATACACAACACGCAGGAGCCCACCATCGGCAGCGGCCAGAGCGCAGCCTTCACCACTCCAAGTATCTTGGCATTGACTTTGCCGACCCGACAGACAGTCGCTTCCGACTCCGGCACGCAGAACAACAACGCAATTAGGCGCAATGACGGGCCGTTCCAACGCCAGGAACGTGCCGATTTGGTCAGGATTATTGCCAGATCAGCCTTCATCTCACGCTGAAAGGCAGCCTTCGGGCACGGCAGATTCGTGCGAAGGAGCAATAAAATACAGATCGACGACTAGCTATGATTAGCTCGACTGATTCCAGCGAATTCGGCCGATCCCGACGGATTGCTGCGACGCTGCGGCAGCCGCGCCCGCACACGGGGGGGGGGGGGGGGGGGGGGGGGTTGCATGATTGGCGCCGCAGCGCGGCATCCAGGGCGGATTTGGTATAAGGTCACTCAACACGTCGACAAATGTTGTACCAGGGGCGGTGTGTGGAAAGAAATGAAACAAGAAAACACGCTTGAAGCCCCACCCCGGTACTGGCGCACCGAAAGCTGAAAACTACGGTGGTAAGCTCGAGTGGAGACACCTCCATAGTTTTGTACGGCACTTCAGCTCACTGGTGCATCTGATTCTTAAGAGGGAAGTAGAAAGTTTCTGTCCAACCATCTTGCCGCGTATCTTCAAATTCCCTACGTTGACATCTAAATGGTTCCATCATGTGAAGCCTTCACTCACTCCCTCGCAATAGCAAACCACACTTTGAGTGGCTCCGTACTGACTTCCGTCCCGACACGACTACCCGAACCGCCGATCCTTTTCACGCCCGGGAGCTGGGACGCACCCCCGGCGCCCGCCACCCTCCGCAGGGGGGGGGGGGGAGGGACTCCCACGCCCCCTCCCCGCGGTGCACCCGCATGTCCTGGTGCTGGGAGCGATCGGGCGAACTCTGACCTCGCGCGACAGGACACGTCATATAACAGCATGGATTGGTGTTTGCTGAAGGGGTTTGGTAATCCCGCGCGTCAAGGGTCGATAAGGACCAGACGGAGCGCGTATCGGGTGGTGGTAAACAGGAAGACTGGGTAGTGTGGGTTTCAATTTCCACTTCACGCAGAAAGTGACCACGACTCCATCCGAACATCGCCGATGAGCGTATTTGTATCGCACCACTGTGGTGTTGTATCTGCTCACTGTAGGCTCCTAGTCGGGTTTGTTGCAGACAAGGGAGGCGTCGGAGAAAGAGGGACAGAGTTTCCTTGTTAAGCTTCCTCGCAGGTCAGATGTATGTAGTGCGTAAGCCTCCGTGCGGTGCAGTTCATAACGAACGCGATATTGGTGGCGAGATCCGAGTGAGTTAAAGCAGCTTCTTTCCACTCTCAATACAGTACATCAGGCCCCATGTGATTTTGTATTTTCATGTGGTATGTCAAGCGTTTCCAAAAATTACGAGTGGTAATTTACAACCATGTATAACTACCTTTACATCGCGATCTCGCAGCCCGATCCTCCAGGTATTGGGTGTACCGAAAAATTGTTTGTTTTTATACATAGTGTTAATATTTAACTTGATTCTGCACAGAGCCAACAAAAAGCTATAGTTAAGATGGTTTGCAAGCCCCAACAAAGCCCGCACGCCTAAAACTTGTCACATTTTACTTAATCTTCGATATAACGTTACGGACCAAAACGTTGCAATGGCCAAAGCATCTCAAGACGTTACTCACCTTCCCTTGGGCTCTT